TGCCAGAGCACCAGGTGGGTGGCTCCACAGGGAATTTTGTGTGTTGGCCCTTTAAGAGGGTGCCCCAACGTTCAACTGCCACTCCCTGGCAGACAGCACCCCACTGTTTTTCACAGCTAGATGTTATGCGGGTACCCTCCTCAGTTCTGGTGCTCTCTGCTGGGGGGCCCAGCTTGGGGTTAGACCCCAGAGTTCTCAGTGGCACCCCCCACAGCTGAGATATCTCTCTGGGACTTCAGTGCCGTCTGTGGGTGCCTGGCCAGCCCTTTCCCCCCTCCGCCCCTCCTACCAGTCTCTATGCGTCTCCACCCCTCCTACCAGTCTATGCGTCTCCACCTTCGGTCCTCGGGTATCAGGGTTCTCTCCTGCGAGGTTTCCTTTGATTATTCAGGAAGCCTTTCCGTGTTTCAGTTGTAATTGCAGCTTGTTCCTGGGAGCGTGTCCGTGCAGCATCCTCCTACTCTGCCGCCATTTTTAATCTCTCTCGAGCAGCGTCTGAAATCCGGGTTTGGAAGAGAGACAAGGAGACCAGCAGGGAGGGGGGTGAGCGATGCCCGGCCTGGACAAGAGCAGTGGGGAGGGGTGCAGAGGCGGAGCACAGGAGGGTCCCCAGGCTGACTGGGCAGGGGAGGGAGAGACGGAAGTATCTGGGGACAGAGGCCCTTCCTGGGAGGGACGCCTGTGACAGAGCAGGTGTTCAGCTCAGGCGCTGGCTGCAGGTGTCCGGGCCTCCTGGACGCAGTACCAGGCTAGGCTGGGCGGTGATGAGCCACCCCAACCCGGGAACCCTGTGTCCACAAGGTCGCTGCAGGCCAGGTGCCCGCTCCGCTGGCAGCTCTGCCAGGTCACGTGGCAGGAGAGAGGGGAGAACCACACAGGATGTGCTGCAGGGGTCGCGCCCGGGGTCACTCCACTGCCCACAGCCGATTGGCCAGCGCCCCGGGTCACGGCCTCCACCTCCCTGCACGGGAGGCTGGCAATGCAGGGCAGGAGGACACGTGGCCACCCCCCCCCACCCCAGCCCCCCACCCCCCGTCACCGGCACGCGGGCAGGGAGGCTCCGCAGCCTTTGGAACTGGCGCCCAGGACGGTGCCAGGGCCGGAGCGGAGACGGCAGGCTGTTGAGCGCGATCCCAGGGGAATGCAGAAGGAAGAGAGAAGACGTCACACCACACATTCCTCGCAGGAGGTGTTTCGGAATTCCCGGAGGATGACTCGAGACGGAGTCCAAATCTCTTGTTTTCAAATATCCGATTACTTGTTGTCATGCAGACAAGGCAGGCAGACTCTTTCCTGATTTCTCGGCTTCCAGATGGCTCCTCGAGTGGCACGGGCAGCCAAAAGCAGTTGGCAGGGGCTCAGGGACCCGCTGCCCACCCGCGCTCTGCAAGGCCAGGCCTCGCGATGAGATGATGGATCTGTCGGAGAGGCACTCAAAGCCTTCCGCTCTAATCAACACTTTGAAAGAACTCACAGGATTCTCGCCTTAAGATTCATTTCAGAAATCAAATTTTTTGGCTACCAAACTACTGAACATGAAACGGATTTTTTTTAATGTAAATGCTTTGCACACTTACATTTTTCTCACAAATAAAATTTGGGTTGAAAATCATGGCTTTAGGGATTTTGGCTCGGAGGGTAATTAAAACTTACTGCTTTCCCCGGGACGGGCCACCACTGGGATCCAGGCTGAGGGCGGGTCTTCAGGGCCCTTTCTTGAGGCTTGTGTCCCCGAGAATACAAGGGTCATGACCTGGGGCTGTGTCACTTTTTGTCCTCCACTTGTTCTCAGGGCCCAGCACAGTCTGGGCACATAGTAAGCACTTAACAAGTCCTGAGGGTGGGCGGGGTGGATGGATGGATGGATGGGTGGGTGGATGGTGGATGGGTGGATGGTGGATGGGTGGGTGGATGGATGGATGGGTGGATGGTGGATGGATGGATGGATGGATGGATGGATGGGTGGGTGGGTGGATGGTGGATGGGTGGGTGGATGGTGGATGGGTGGATGGATGGATGGATGGATGGGTGGGTGGGTGGATGGTGGATGGATGGGTGGATGGTGGATGAATGGATGGATGATGGGTGGATGGGTGGATGGATGGGTGGATGGGTGGGTGGATGGATGGATGGATGGGTGGATGGTGGGTGGGTGGGTGGATGGTGGGTGGGTGGATGGTGGATGGATGGATGGATGGATGGTGGGTGGATGGGTGGATGGATGGATGGATGGTGGGTGGATGGGTGGATGGATGGATGGGTGGATGGATGGATGGATGGGTGGATGGATGGGTGGATGGATGGGTGGATGGGTGGATGGATGGATGGGTGGATGGATGGATGGATGGGTGGATGGATGGGTGGATGGGTGGATGGATGAATGGATGGATGGTGGGTGGATGGGTGGATGGATGGATGGGTGGGTGGATGGATGGATGGGTGGGTGGGTGGATGGATGGATGGATGGATGGTGGGTGGATGGATGGATGGGTGGATGAGTGAATGGGTCGGTGGGTGGATGGAAATCTCCTGGAAATCAGGCTGCCAAATGATAACTGCCGAAGTGAACAGCTACCCAGCAGAAGGGAAAGAGCACTTGACTGAGAGTTGGGAGAGCCTGGTTCCGTGTCCACGCTGCACTGACCAAGCTTCGAGAACCTGCGAAAACCCCTTCCCACGGGAGCTGCTATGCTCCCCACTGCTGCGGGGTCTCTGCCGCCGCCGCCTTCCCAGCTTCACGTCCCCCTGAGGAGCCTGGAGGCCCTGGGGGGCAGCCCACCACCCGTCCTGCGGAGCCTGGGGGCCCTGGGGGGCAGCCCACCACCCGTCCTGCGGAGCCTGGGGACCCTGGGGACCCTGGGGGCGGCCGCGAGGACCACAGCTGCACTGCCCGGTGAAGGGCGATCACCACCAGGACAGGGGGGGGCCCGAGCCTCGCGCGCAGCTCTGTCCGTGGACATGGTCTCCCTGGAGGTTGTGTGGAAGGGCCTTGGCCTCTGGGGATCCCCTAGCCACAGGCTCCCCGCTGCCCCCAAGTGCCGGGAGCCGGTCCATGCTTGCTGTTTCAAGGGACCTGGCATATATGGCATACTGTTCTTAATATGTTTGCTCACCTTCTTGGCACTATGTGTTTTAACCAAGGTCTCTGAGAAAGGTTGTTTCCCCAGGTAGGGATTTTCCCCTGAAGTTAGGGAGGGAATAAAACCCCTTAACTAAGTGCCAGGCGAGTAATTAATCACTTTAACTACGAACAATCATGCTTAAGCTACATAATCTTTACTCCCTGGAATGGAGATAAGAAACGCCCTAACCTTTGGAATAGAGATTGATAGGATTGGAATCAACTGGTATAAATACAGATGTAAGAAGACAGAACTTAGAAGACAGAACCTACATAGAACCTAGAGACAGAGGAGCTTCGCTGGAGAGAACATGGAAAAAGATCCTGGACAGAACCTGGCAACAGAAACTAGAGACAGAACCTAGCGAGGGATCATGGCTACAGAACCTGGCTGGAGAACCTGGAGAACCTAGCAAGAGAACATGGACACAGAACCTGGCTGGAGAACCTAGCGAGGGAACATGGCTACAGAACCTGGCTGGAGAACCTGGGAACCTAGCAAGAGAACATGGACACAGAACCTGGCTGGAGAACCTAGCGAGGGAACATGGCTACAGAACCTGGCTGGAGAACCTGGAGAACCTAGCAAGAGAACATGGACACAGAACCTGGCTGGAGATCCTAAGCAGAACCTCTTTGGAGATCCAGACCAGAACTTGGCTGGAGATCCTGGCTGGAGATCCTGGCTAGGCTGCTGATAACTGAACGCTGTCTCCGTGTCATTCCTTCTTCGCCGACTCCGTCCACGCCTTTGGGAACCCCTGTACCTGCTGGGGTTGGACCCCGGCACCCAAGGCCAGGTGCGTGTGCACAGGAAACAGCCTGGGAAAGGGCCCTCGGGCAGACCCGAAAACGCCAGGTGCGGACTGCCCCCCCCACCCCCCACCCCCCGCCCCAGGCCTTTGCCCCAGGACAGGAGGCTTGCTGGCCGGGGATTTAAGAACGGCGAGGGGCTCGCTCTGCGGAGGACTGAGGGAGGGCTGGGCGCACACGCCTGCGAGAGTGGGGATTGTGGGTGTCAGCTGTGCCTCCATAAAGCTGGTTTTAAACGAGAAAGCGGTGCCCTCTGGCTGCCCACCGTCATCCCTTCGGCCGGCCCCTGCGCGCTTGCCTGCGGGATCCCTGCGGGCCATGGGCGGCCGGCGAAGCGGCTGTGAGCCGCTGGCGATGATGAGCGGAAGGTCGCCATGTCGCCGCTTTCCTTCCTTCACCCTCTCCGGCCTGGCAGCGCCCTGTGAGGTGAGCACGTCCAGGTCACCCCGTTACAGCCGGGAGAGTGAGGCCCGGGGGCGGGTGTGCGTTCAAGGTGACGGGATGGCCGTTGGAGCCGGCAGAGGCCTCCGCACCACAGAGCAGCCTGGATGCCTCCTGGGGCTGCCTCCCCTGCTGCTTTGCTCACTGCACGCCCCCCCCCCCCCCCCCGCCACCCTGACTGCCGCCCACCCCACAGGGCACACCTTCTCCCCTTGGCCTGATTCCCAGGTGCCTGTGGCCCCCGCCCCACCGGGCCCTGAGGCCGGTCTAGGGGGCTGAGGTCTGCAGTGAGTTGGCCTGTGTCCCCCAGAAGGATGTGTCCAAGCCCAGCCCCCGGGACCTGTGAACGGGACCCTCTCTGGAAACAGCGTCCTGGCAGACGGGAAGGAGCCGGTCACAGAAAGGCCTGAGGGCCCAGAGTCACTGAGACGCAGAGCTGGAAGCTGCAAGGGCGGTGCCAGGGGCGGGCAGTGCCAGGGGCAGGCGGTGCCAGGGGCAGCGGGGAGAATAGGGTCGAAGGGGGCAGGTCTCGCTTTGCCAGAGGAAGGGTCTGGTGGAGACCGGCACACAGCGGAGTGAACTGTGACCTGTGACTACTTAGTGCTCGTGAACCGGACACGTAAACATGCTTCCGTGGACAGCACAGCGCGGGTCCCAGTCCCACGCAGGGTGGGGTCGGCCGCGGAACCTCCAGCACCCGCGGGACGGACCCCCGGCACCCGGAGGGCGGACCCCGGCACCCTCAGGGACGAACCCCGGCACCCGGAGGGCGGACCCCGGCACCCTCAGGGACGGACCCCGGCACCCGGAGGGCGGACCCCCGGCACCCTCAGGGATGGACCCCGGCACCCGCAGGGACGGATCCCCGCACCCGGAGGGCGGACCCCCGGCACCCTCAGGGATGGACCCCCGGCACCCTCAGGGACGGACCCCCGGCACCCGCAGGGACGGACCCCCGGCACCCTCAGGGACGGACCCCGGCACCCGGAGGGCGGACCCCGGCACCCTCAGGGACGGACCCCCGGCACCCGCAGGGACGGACCCCGGCACCCTCAGGGACGGACCCCGGCACCCTCAGGGACGGACCCCCGGCACCCTCAGGGACGGACCCCGGCACCCGCAGGGACGGACCCCGGCACCCGGAGGGCGGACCCCGGCACCCTCAGGGACGGACCCCGGCACCCTCAGGGACGGACCCCGGCACCCGGAGGGCGGACCCCGGCACCCGGAGGGACGGACCCCCGGCACCCTCAGGGACGGACCCCGGCACCCGGAGGGCGGACCCCGGCACCCTCAGGGACGGACCCCCGGCACCCTCAGGGACGGACCCCCGGCACCCTCAGGGACGGACCCCCGGCACCCGCAGGGACGGACCCCGGCACCCTCAGGGACGGACCCCCGGCACCCGGAGGGCGGACCCCGGCACCCTCAGGGACGGACCCCCGGCACCCTCAGGGACGGACCCCCGGCACCCTCAGGGACGGACCCCCGGCACCCGCAGGGACGGACCCCGGCACCCGGAGGGCGGACCCCGACACCCTCAGGGACGGACCCCGGCACCCTCAGGGACGGACCCCGGCACCCGGAGGGCGGACCCCGGCACCCGGAGGGACGGACCCCCGGCACCCTCAGGGACGGACCCCGGCACCCGGAGGGCGGACCCCGGCACCCGCAGGGACGGACCCCGGCCCCCGGAGGGCGGACCCCGGCACCCGCAGGGATGGACCCCGGCCCCCGGAGGGCGGACCCCGGCCCCCGGAGGGCGGACCCCCGGCACCCGCAGGGACGGACCCCCGGCACCTGCAGGGACGGACCCCGGCACCCGCAGGGACGGACCCCGGCACCCGGAGGGCGGACCCCGGCACCCGGAGGACGGACCCCCGGCACCTGGAGGGACGGACCCCGGCACCCGGAGGACGGACCCCCGGCCGGCAGCGCAGCGGGTTCTCCCGCGCCCACAGGGCGAAGTCACAGACGGGCTGAGAGAGGAGAGCTCGCCGGGCTGCGCTGAGCTCGGAGGCCGGACGCTGGGAGTGACCTGCACTGAACGCTTTTATACTAAAACACTTTGCGGCCTCCCATCTGCGCCCAGACAGCACACCCCGAGGGGAGGGCTCATCTCTAGTGGCAGCGGGCGCCCCCCCCCGTGACAGCAGGACGCGCACTGCGCGGTGTTTCACCCTCACCAACGCGCGGGCCTCCTGGGAGCCGAGAGCCCGTGGCAGGGCCGACCCCAGTGGGTGAAGTCGCACACGTGAGTGAGGAGAGAGCCGGTCCGGTCCGTGAGACCTGGAGGCCGACCAGCTGGAAGCCAGGTCTCCCCTCCCAGTGGACTCCGTCCCCAGGTGCACACCCTGGCGCCCCCACTGGTGCTGGGTGGCATTGGAGGGGGGCCCTCGGGAGCATCAGGACCACGAGGAGCTGGGAGCAGCACCAGGGATGTGCCCTGAGGAGGGAGGAGGACGGTGGGAAGGCGCCGCCCCCAAGGCCAAGGCCAGGAAGAGAGCCCCCCAGGCCACATCCGTCCGCGGGCACCTGGTGCTGGACCCGGGCGCTCAGAGCTGTGCGAAGCCCGTCTGTGCCTGAGCCCCTCCCTCTGCGGCGCTTTGTGAGGGGCCTCCGTTAAGACACCCCCTTTTCCCTGAGGCTTCCGGTCTGCAGCCATGACGACCGTGGGGGGCCTCGGGACACCCCCCTGGAATGAAGAGCTCTCCCAGCAGCCCGTGCAGCAGAGGGAGCCCCGGCGCCCTCAGGCCTCGGCGCACAGCTCTCAGCTCTCAGGGCTGGGAGGGCTCCTCCGTGCACCGGGACCCAGCACGGCCGCTGTCCCCCCTCCGGGACCGGAATGTCTCCCAGGCTCAGAGCACCTGCCCCTCACGCTCGGTGGGTGACGGTGAGCAAGACACTCAACGCCCCGAGCTGCTTCCTCGTGTGCCAAACGGGGTTACCAGTAGCACCTAATTAGGCGCGTTTCACTTACAGTCACATCTGGACACAATAAAATGTGCCCGACAGTCATCGTCTCTGTCCCGCGCCCTCGGCGGTAAGCAGCACCGGAGGGCAGAGCCGGGCCACGGGCTGCTGAAGGCGGCACAGCCGTGCCAACCCTGAGACGGGTCCGAGAGCCTCCAGGCCCGGCCGGCTGGCGCCCACATCCGCCCTCCCTCCCAGGCCACTCCGGGTCCGGAGGCAGGCCACACGGAGTGCGCTCCGGTCATGGTCTCAGAAGTCCCCACTCCCCCTCCCCGGGGGCGGGGGAGGCTGGCCCCAGCCACTTGAGGTTCTATTTGCTGTTGACCTGCAGGTAACCCCATGCCCGAGAGGGGGGCCCCCGGCAGGGAGGGGGGACAGGGAGACGGGGCCACCTCAAAGCAAGGCCTGCAGCTCCGCCGGCCCGGCAGACAGCGGGTTAGCGACAATAACGAATTAGGAAATTCATGTTCTTTTTCTGTTTAGTCAGAATTTGAATTTCAAATCAGGTCTGTGTGGGCTCAGATTGACTGCAGCCTGTCTCCCAGGGCCGGTCACTCAACGCCTGGCCCCACAGCCCACCAGCCCCTGCGGTGTCCAGCGGCCTTCTCGGGGGGCGGGGGCAGCCCAGCGTACCAAGGCGGGTGCGCAGCCTCTGACCAAGAACACTTCAGTCCAAGTCTCCCCGCAAATTTCGCTTATACAACAGTGTTACCAATTGCAGTCCCTGGTGCCCGTGAGCTCCTCAGTCCCTATTCATCTCGGCTCAAAGTTTTTGCCCTTTGACCAACCTCCCCCCGTCTCGCCCCCCCCCCCCCCCGACCCCCAGCCCCTGGCAACCTGTTTCTGTGCGTCTGGCTTTTGTTCAGGTTCCACATGGAGGTGACATCCAGGCCCACCCTGTTGTCACAAAGGGCAACAGTGAGGGAGGGAGGGAGGGCGACCTCTGCCGGGGTCTTGGGGTTCGGGTCAGATCTTGGACCCGGTGGGGAGGCCGCCCCGCAGCTGCATGCTCTGTGGGCGCCGCAGTGAGGGGCGCCAGGGAAGCTCTGGGCGGTGGGCGGTGGTGAGCAGCCCGCACGGGGCTGGACATCGCGAGGCTTAGGCAGAAAGCCGGGGACGGCGACGGGGAAGCGACAACTGCTGCTCCTGCGAGGCCAGGCTCGGGGCAGCTGTTGCTCGATTCTCTGTCCCCCTAAGTAACCACTGCCCTCGCCCCCCGAGTGAGGCCCTGGGGTGCGGGGGGACTTGCTCAGCCCCCACAGCTGCAGGGCCTGGACTTGAGCCCTGGGCTGTGGAAGTCCAATCCACGGCCCGCCCCTCGCCATGTGAGCACGGAGAGCAGGGAAAGGCTGCCTGACCCGGAAGGCTTCACGGAGGAGGCGGCATTTTCACTGAGCACTGACGGGGGTTTAGAGCAGGAAAGGCCTTTTCCAGAAAGAGGAGAAAACAAACTAACAGCCAGAGGCAAAGCCTCGGGGCACACGGAGTCTCTCAACTCCTCTCCCATCTCCCAGGGCAGCAGGAGAGACAGGCCCCCAGCACCCACAGGAACAGGCCCCCAGCACCCACAGGAACAGGCCCCCAGCACCCACAGGAACAGGCCCCCAGCACCGGAGGGAAGGAAGGGCTGGCATTCGCGGCTCCTCGGCACAAAGCCCTTAGGCCAGGATTGAAAATTCTCTTTCCTCTTGGAAAAACATTCGGTTTCCAGCCTGCATTTTTGGCTGCCTCGGGAGGGAAGACGCAGCAGAAGGAAGGCCAGGAGGGGCGGGGCCCACGGGGCGACCGGGTGGGCAGAAGGGGCCCTGAGGGGCGGGCACAGGGGAAGGGCAGGAAGACCCCGCCCGGTGCTGGGTGCCGGCCACCCGCCCTGGGCGGCTGCTGGGAGCAGGTGAGGCTGCGACCACGGGCCGCCCACGGACAGAGCACCGTCCGCTGTGTGTCCGGACACAGAGGCCAAGTGCCAGCGGAGGACACACGATGACCACAGGCTCCCGAACCCAGGTCGTCCTGGCTCCCCCTCCCCACGCTGCCCCTTTCTCACCCACACGCGTCGGGTCCAGGACCCCGACTCAGAGGCGAGGAGGCCCGCGAGCCCGAGGAGGGGCGGGCGGAGGGAGGACCCCCGAAGCTCCGGGCCAGGTCACACTTCGGGGGAGGAGATTCCCAGCGAACAGCAGCGTTTGCTGATGGAGCGACAGGGAACTGAGCGCCTCTAGGAGTGACTGAAAGACGTAACCTCCGGGCCACCTGCCCCCCCCATCCTCTCCCCAGCACCTCCTACCAAGCCGCCGGAGAGGCGCTTAGAGGCCACGTGTTTCTCCGTGTAGAAGACGCCCCCACTTTTCCAAACCAAAACTAGGAAATCAGTATTTTACACATGAGACAGACAGTGTATCTAGTGGTCGCCGCAGGGCACGTTCAGATGCCGCACTCTGACAGGCGGCGTGCCCTCTGTCCGGCCCGCTGCCTCTCTGCTCTCTGCTTCACGTTAGCTCCAGACGGATCACTCGCTCCGACCTCTACTGTGCCTTCTGAGTCACGGCCTGTGCACGTGAGACCCTCCTCGTAAGCTGGCGGCATTTCCTCAGCTCAGTCGGCTGTTCCCGCGGCCAAGCCTTCCCTCCTCGCGAAACGGAAGCACCATTGCCTTTCCTGTGAAGTCCGCCGTGTTCACTTGGCCTGCTGGCATCCTCGCCTGACGCTGATGTGCCGCCTGGCGCTGCTCCATAACGCAGGCCCGAGCCCTGCTCCAGTCTGCCCGCTGCTGGTTCTCCCCGGAGGCTCTCCCTTTGGGCATCTTCAGGGCCGTCCTTCCTGTTCTCCCCACTGTCTGCTCATGCGCTCCGTGGAGGAGGTCCACCTGGCCTCTCTGCAGCTGTTTCCATGCTCTCTGCACAGCGGGTTACATTCAGTTTGAATTTTGCAGAGTAAGACAATCGCTTACTGGTATTTACCTTTTAATTAATTTATTTGTTTGACATCTTTTTGGGCTCAGAACGCTCCGGTCCCTGTTGCATCTGCCACTCTCCACCTCCACCTCCAATTACAGCATCAGCTGCCATCAGCAACAATAAGGCTCATATTGGAGGAAGCCTGTTGGACAAGGTGTGGGCAGCCCCGCACCCTCCTGGCTTCCTCCTCGGCTGACTTCCGTGTGTAAGACGCCCCTCGATTTTCAGTCTAATGATTTTAGAAAACAATAGGGTCTTATACATGGAAAAATACGGTAGTCACGTCCCGAGCCAGGCCGGGGCTCCAGGGACTGCGAGGCTGGCGCACATGGGCAGCCATTCCTTCACAAACACCAGTGAAAGCTGCCGCCACTGGCGAGGCGGGGCCGCCCCTGCCCCAGGCCCTGGCAGTGCCCGGCCAGGCCCCAGAGGCAGGGCCAGCGGGAGGGTGCTGCTGCTTAGGGTCCCTCCGGTGGCGTTCTCTTACCAAGAGCACCCTTTTCCTTTCGGAGCCCGAGCCTAGGGAGCTGGGCTGCCAGGTCCCTCCCTCTTCTGGGGGTGGGGGGAGGCCTCATCCTCCCCTCTGGGCCCCCGGCACCTCGGTTTCCTCGGGGGCTGGGTTCTGGGGTGTCCCCTGTACCCAGAAATAAAGTGGGCCAAGAATGAGACGCGGTGACAGGAATGGGCACCAGGTAGCGCTAACCCACCTGGGTCCTGACACCCACAGGCGCGTGGACATAAAACGGAGATGCAACGACGCCCCTTCGCGGGGGGTGGGAATCATGGGCCCGTGCGTGGCTACACTCTCCAGGGCCAAGGTGCTGGCGGGCTGGGCTCTTACCTGGGGGCTCCTCGGTTGCTGGTGGAGTCCTGTTTCCCCGCCGGGGGCTGAATGGGAGCGGCGCCCACCCGGGCCTCTCACCTGCCCACCTGCGAACCACAGTCACATCTGAGTCTCCCTCGTGCAGCTGACTTCACCTGGAGGGAACTCGCTGCTTTTAGCTCGCCGGCCCCAGCCCACCAGGTAACCTCCAAGGTCAAGCGCCAAGGGACCTCCACTGCATCTCCAAGCCTTCGCAGCCGCACCCAGCTCAGCTCAGGGCTTGAGAGGTGGGGCCTCGGGGCCCAGCTTTAGAGTTCTGTCTGCCACGCCCATCGGACCCGCATTCGTTTGCTTTTCAATTTGCTTATTTCAGAGTTCGATGAAGGATGAAAACGATGCCCCCACTGAGGGCTGATGATGATGGTGATGATGATGGTCGTGGTGGTGCAGCCAGCAGCAGGAGAGAGACCCGGATTCTAGCTTCAGCCCCGACAGCCACATGGAAGCTAAGATTGGCCGGGAACAACACACAAAAGTTCTCCCTTTGTCCACCTGCAGGACCCCGAGCGAGTCGCCTAACCTGGTGACCGACCAGCCAGCCCACTGCGGGCCGGGGGCGGGAGGGCACCTGCCCCGAGCCTGGCCCCCGCCGCTCAGCTGGGATGAGCCTCACACCCGCCGCCCACATGCTGCCGAGCCATCTGCACGGGCTCCGCCTGAGCGCGCTTTGCTCTCCAGACGCCACCCCGTCCTTGCTGGGCCACCGCGTGGCGTCTGCTTGGTCTTCGTGCGCCCCCTGGGCCAGGCCTCCCGTCCCCTTTGCTGGGAGAGTGGTCCGCTGGCTGGCCCATGTGAGGAGCCACGTGTGGGTCCATGTGTGGGACACTCCCAGAGCAGCAGCTTCATCTCTCGAGGACGGGGCGTGCACTGCGGTGATCACGACCTCGGCCTCAGGACTCGCTGAGCAGGCTCCCAAACAGTGGCAGTGACCTCTGCAGCCCGCCCCTCGGAGCAGTTCCCCATGTGGCCACGAGATGGCAGCACAGGCAGGCCCCTGGGGCGGGGTGTCCCCGGCTCCAGCATGAGCTCCTCCGGGCAGGATGCCCACCTGATTTCCCCTGAGCCCCAGGAAGAATGAGGAAATGAAGATTTGTGTCTCTTCTCAACCTCACAATAAATAACATGATCCCGGTCTTACAGGTCGGCATATGAAGGCTCAGAGCAAGTCAGTGCCTTGCCCAAGGCCACAGCCCATGGAAATCACGGCAATGTCGCTTGAAGTTTTAATACAGAAAATTTCATATATACAAACCTCCACAGTGTCCCTCATCCGGCTGAACATTTCGCCGCTGTGCTTCTCCTCTGCTCATGGTTGGCTTTTGACTAGTTATTTAGAGTAAACTCCAGACACTGTGGAAACACGCTGTAAATACTTTCAATTTTACCTCTGAACGACTAGGACACTTTTTCCTAATCAGCTATCTTCCTACCAAAGCAGCAGTAACTCGTTCTTATCTAGTACTGTTTACAGCCACATTCCCCCGCAGGCTCACAGGCATCTTTTTTAGTTGGTTTGTTCCATCATGAGCCAAACAAGGCCCACACCTCCCATTCGATTATGTCTTTAAGCTCTTTTATCCCCAAACAGTCCAATTCCTTTTTTATCTCCATGCCCTTAATTAACAACCAGGTGTTTTCCCACAGAACATCCTAAATTCTGGATTTGGCTTTTTTCCTTCTCCTACAGGTGGCACAGGGCCTGCCTGGCACACAGTAGGTGTTCATTCAACGTTATGAATACTGAAGGGGAAGCAAAGTGAAGGAATAGAGGTTCGGTCCTCAAAAATGTGACAAGCAGCAGCACTACACTTGGGGAGACCACGGCTCCAGCCCTCGGATCTTGGGGAGACCACAGGCTCCAGCCCTCGGATCTTGGGGAGACCACAGGCTCCAGCCCTCGGATCTTGGGGAGACCACAGGCTCCAGACCTCGGATCTTGGGGAGACCACGGCTCTAGCCCTCAGATCTTGGGGAGACCACAGGCTCCAGCCCTCAGATCTTGGGTGCTGGGGTCCAACCCCAGCAGGTCCAGGGGTCCCCAAAGATGTGGACGGAGTCAGCAAAGAAGGAATGACACGGAGACAGCGTTCAGTTGATCAGCAGCCTAAACAGGATCTCTAGCCAGGATCTCCAGCGAAGTTCTGGTGTTTATTGTCTTGTTACATCCGTATTTATACCAGTTGATTTTAATCCTGTCAATTTCTATTGCAAAGGTTAGGGCGTTTCTTATCTCCATTCCAGGGAGTAAAGATTATGTAGCTTAAGCGTGATTGTTTGTAGTTAAGGTGATTAACTACCCACCTGGCACTTAGTTAAGGAGTTTTATCCCCTCCCTGACTTCAGGGAAAAAATCCCTACCTGGGGAAACAACCTTTCTCAGAGAGGTGACCTTGGTGAAAACACACAGCGATAAGGGGAGCAAACATATTAAGAACAGTATGCTATATATGCCAGGTCCCTTGAAACATATGCTGTGCAGATGTTTCTTTCCTGCAGCGACTGTGTCAAGCAGCAAGGATGGACCGGCTTCTGGCACTTGGGGAGACCACGGCTCCAGCCCTCGGATCTTGGGGAGACCACGGCTCCAGCCCCTGGATCTTGGGGAGACCACAGACTCCAGCCCTCGGATCTTGGGGAGACCACGGATCCAGCCCTCAGTTCTTGGGGAGACCATGGCTCCAGCCCCTGGATCTTGGGGAGACCACAGGCTCCAGCCCTCGGATCTTGGGGAGACCATGGCTCCAGCCCTCGGATCTTGGGGACTCGGATCTTGGGGAGACCACAGGCTCCAGCCCTCGGTTCTTGGGGAGACCACGGCTCCAGCCCTCGGTTCTTGGGGAGACCACGGCTCCAGCCCCCGGATCTTGGGGAGACCACGGCTCCAGCCCTCGGTTCTTGGGGAGACCATGGCTCCAGCCCTCGGATCTTGGGGAGACCATGGATCCAGCCCCCGGATCTTGGGGAGACCACGGCTCCAGCCCTCGGATCTCGCAGAGAGGACTGCAGGCCCGGCAGTCCTGCAGCAGGAGCCAGGCCACAGCTCCCGGGGCCTCACTGGAGGGGCAGCGGCTACGGGCAGCGGAGCCAGCCGCACCTCCTCTTCCGGCTCCGGCTTCTTCCAGGCCCGCGGACACTGATGACAGCTGGGTTGTGAGCTTCAGCTGTGCCTCCAGTTTTCCTAGGTGCTGTTCCTATTTCATTCTGTTTTGTTTTATTCCAAGAAAATTGAAGGTGATAGAAAAGTGCAAAGAAAACCAACATATACCCATCACCCATCACCCAACACCAACACTGCCCACGGTGTCACATGTGCTTGCTGGGTTTTTGTTGTTTTGTTGTTGCTGCTGTGACTTTTAATAAAACGCAGACAGCGATGGCGTGCTCTAACCGCGACTCGCTGCTTCACCACCAGAGCAACAGCCTAAGGGGGTGGAGCCTCCAAACCGGCGTCCCAACGGGCCTGCAGGGGCATTGGGCGCTTTCGCCCTTGGCCCACCCGCATCCATCAACACTGGGCGCTTTGCGCCCGGCACCGCGCCAGACGCTGGGCTGTAGGAAAAGAGGCCAAAAGCCCGCCCCGCCCCCGAACTGTCCGAGAGCAAAGAGCGAAGTGGGGTGTTAGAAAGGAAAACGGGCCCAAGGACCGCAAGCGCCCAAACGTGCGCACTTCCGGCGCCCCTTTCCCGCCCCCCCAAGCTTCCTCCCCATTGGTGTTTCCCTGACCACGCCCCGCCCACGGAGGGTCTCCTCCCACTGTTTCCTTCAACTGTCCCCGCCTCTCGTCCCGGGGCGTGGGGAGACTTCAGACCCCGCCCACCCACCGTGAGCCACGGTTATTGGTGACTCCTGTCCGTCCATCAGAAGAAATTCGGTCGCGAATTGGCTGGAAGAAAGTAGCAGGCACGGAGTCTGCGCGAGTTGCTTGGCCCCCCCCAAGGGGGCGGGCCGGAGGCCTCCACGCATGCCCGGTGCGCGCGCAGTGCCGGCGCGGGTGGCGGTCATGGCGGCTCGGTGCGTGAGGTTGGTGCGGCGCAGCCTCCCGGCCCTGGCGTTCTCTCTTAGGTAAGGGGCGCCGGCTGCCCTCGGCTGAAGGGCGCGGCCCGCGGTGCCGTCCTGCCCAAGTCCGGTCCGGGAGCGGGCCTGGAGCGTAAGGGGCGGTGCGCCCCGTGTGCCCGAGGCCCGCGCTGACCCCCGCACGCGTCCCCGGGCCCGTGTACAGCCCCCGCGTGCGCAAGCCCGGGCACGGGCAGCCTCAGCCTCGGAGCCGCCGGAACCGCGGGCCGGGCCGCCGGCAGGACCGGGCGCGTGCGCCCTGGCAGCGCAGGGCTGGGTCCCATGGGCGGGACGTTTCGTGGAACCAGGTTCGGGTCAGCGGTCCACGGGCATTTCCCACTCGGCCCGTGTTCCTGCTCCACCTCCGCCTTCCGGAGGCTGAGGTCAGAGTGCGACGGGGGCCGACCCGCCGGGCGAGTGTAGACGGGCAGTGACTTCACAGTGGGCCCGGTGCCGTCCTTCCCTCGCGGAGCGCACCCCCTGCACGGGAGCCCGGCGAGGATCGCAGAGCGCGGAAGGGGTTCGAGGCGTGATGGCCCCAACAAGTTACATAAACAAAGCGTGGGAGCCCAGGAGCAGGGAGCCGGCCGGAGCGCCGGGGAAAGGCGTTTTGCGCCCGTTGTTTGTGGCTTTGCTCCGGGAAGGACGGGACCCGTGGGCATGAACGTCCGCAGAGAGGCCCAGCCCGGCAGTCGGGGCGGCCGGACGGCAGTCAGGTCTCTCGGGCAGCTGACCTCTCGGGGACTCAGTTTCCCCTCGGCATCTCCTGCTGGCAGCCCCGCGGGGCAGGGGAGCCGAGGGCTGCGACCCTCACGCCCAGAGGGCGGACCGGAACACAGAACGACTAGAAAGTAAAACAGGTTTCACAACACCACGCTCCGTTCTTGGACTGTTCGTCTTCTTAAGTCGCAAACATAAAAACAATAAAAAGGTTATTGCTCCCCACCCCGTGAACAGACTAATGGATCCTTCATCCCTCTCTGCCCAAGACCACATGTGCACTGCGTTTCTTGCCCTGTTCGGGTTGTGGAAAAACAGCTGATCCCACCCTTGCCTTCCTGATGAGCTCTGTTTTGCGCGCAGTGTACCCTGCTGCCCTGCGCGTCCTTGCACGCTCTCTGTACTGATAGCGCTCCCGTTCATGGAGGCAGTTTCCTCTATTCTGGGAGGAAAACTGAATGTAGCTCCTTCTCAGATGGGACCGTTGCATAATGAAGAAACTCCTGGGGTCCTGGTGAAGAAATCTGGGTTTGAAGGCTGTTCTGTTACTTATTCGTGGCTTTGTGACCTTGGGCTGAATTGCTTAACCTTTTGGACGTGGGGACCAGACTGGGTCATGTTCAGTCACTTCCGCCTCCAGGATTCGTGGTAGAGCTCTGTATTTCCCTGTGCATCCCATGCCTTCCTACCTCCTGGCCTTTCCAGGCAGCTCCCTCTTCCTAAAGTGAGTCTGCAGTCCACTCCGACTCCTTAGGTGTCACTTATAATTTTAGAGAGGCAGGGGGGGAGAGAGACAGACAGACAGACAGACAGAGACATCGATTGGTTGCCTCCCATATGTGCCCTGACCAGGCTGGGAATCAGGATCAAACCTGCCACCTTTCAGTGTGGGGAACGATGCTCCAACCAACTGAGCCACCCGGCCAGGGCCTTACGTGTAACTCTTAGCTGTCCTTCAAAGCCCCTCTGCAGGAAGCCTTTCATTTTTCCATTCTCCAAAGCTAAGAAGTATTCTATGCTGAGCCTCCCAGAGCCTCCCCTTTTATCACTTTTAAACCCAAAATTACAGTTCTTTGCGTAGATACCTCTTTGCGTGACACCAAGTGCCCTGTGGCAGGATCTCTGCCCCCGTCACCTTCGTGGTCAGCATCAGCTCTGGGCCTCACGTCTGCTAACAGCTGCTCCTCCAGTCCTCGGGGCCGGGAGGACACAGCTCAGGAGGGACAGGAGGGGGGCGAGCAGGTAGCCTGGGGACAGGACATACTAGTTGCAGATAGCTTCTACACGTCAGATGCAAGAGAAACCCTTTCTCCCCCAGCAAGTCAATGGCCAATAGTCTTCAGTTACCTCAGGTTGACGGTCATACCTCTGCCTTGCATGCGCTTCCCCAGGCCCACTCCTCGGCTGCTGTGCACAGCTGCAAAGCAGAAGAACAGTGGCCAGAACTTGGAAGAGGACGCGGGTCAGACTGACCAGAAGACGGACACTCCCTGTGCAGAGAAGACGCTCATGGAGGAGAAGGCCAAGTTAGAGGAGCAGCTGAAGGACACTACGGTAAGGCGCGGGCCCTGGGGGAGATGGGCAGTTGAGCGCCAGGCGAGTTCCTGGTTTGCCCACGGACTACGGCTGGGGCCGGTAGCGTGCTCCTGCTGAGGAAGGGCTAGAGCCCAAGGCTGCGCGGCTCTGGCTCTGCCGTGAGACTCATGGTTACGTGCTATGCAGCTGGCGTTGAGCTAAGATTTAATTGGTCTTTACGTACAAGGAATACCAGCATGGCTGTCGAAGCTGGGCCTGCGGGGAGGGAGCGGTTTGCGGACGCGGCAGCAATGCGGATGCATGGTCCGTTCCTTCAGGATTTAAGGGCAACACCAGACACGCAGGTGCTGACACTGCTCCAGCGCCTTTATGTGTGTTCATTGCTGATGTCCCTGTTTACAGACAGGAAACTGAGGCACAGGGAAGTTAAGTAAACTTCCTAAGGTCGCCCAGCTACTGAGTGCCAGAGCCACAGCCTGGGAGAGCTTGCTCTCGACTGCACTGGAATTGCCTGAATACAGGCTGAAAACGGGGGTTACAGTCACCCCCCGCCCCCAGAGTAATCTCATCCACTTTAAAATGGAATTGATGGGGCAGAATGTGAGATTACAGTCAAGTGGTGAGACATGGGGACGATCCCATAATTCAGATGCTTATACACAATAAGTGTTGGAACTCAGCCATGACTGGGCAGCAGTGAATACAAAGGGTCATTGATGAGCCTTTATCTCTTCGCTGGGATGCTGCCTAAACTCCACCAGGCTTATGGGAACCGGTGGGTCAGCCCCTGAGGCTGCTGGGATCCCCTTACGTTGGAAACTTGGTTAAGGAAGTGAATGGTCCTTCCTTGGTGATGAGGCCGTCAGGGCCCCGAGAAGGTCGTTTTTCTTCTTTCCCAGCTGTCACTGCGTAAGAATGGCCATGGGGCTACACAGACATCTGTCACCTTGACATCCTCCTCCCTCGCTGGGAAGTGATCGGGCGGAACTCACTTCTAAGTGCAGCTGCACTGTCTGTAGTCCAGTCTCAGGCATAAGGATAGTTGGTGTTTGTATTTTGACTTGCGGTTTGTGGTGTCAGATTTGCTTTCCTATGAATTTGTTCCATGTTTTATTCATGTAAGTTTCCTTTTTCTTTTAGGAAAAATATAAGCGAGCTTTGGCAGATACTGAGAACTTGCGGCAGAGGACCCAAAAACTGGTGGAGGAGGCAAAATTATATGGTAACTTTTAACACTGCATGACGCTCATCCGGGAAAGTGTGCGTGTGCGTGTGTGTGCGTGTGTGTGTGTGTGTGCGCGCGCGCGCGTGTGTCAGAAAGATCAGCCAGGGCGGGCGCCTGCCGGTTGTCGTCTTCCCGTCCCCCCTTTTAAGGAGAAACTGGAGTTGTGACTGGCGCTTAGAACCGTAAGCAGGAGGCTTCCGCTCTCCACGTGGAGCCTCGGTGTGGACCTGTGGCGACCCTGGCAGGTTGGCCTCTCTGGCGTCGTTTCCTTGGCATCACCAGCACCACACTGACCACTGAGATCCCCTCAGGTGCTGTCTGTGTTGTCACCTTTGAGTATTTGTCCCTGTCCTTCCCACTTTACAGTTGAGATCACTGAGGCTTCGTGACCTGCCACTCATCCCAAAGCTAGCGGTAGCCCCACGCTCCTCCTCGCTGTGCTTGTTAGCCCGAGGCCGCCGTTGGTTCCTGGGGGGCGGGGCCTTGGTGGAAGCAGGTGCCAGTGTGGGTGCTCTCGCCATCCCTGACTTCCGGTCGGCATGTGCACCTTTTTTTTGAAACCACAAAAATTATGTAATACACTGCCTTATATTTTGAGTGGCCTTTCAAACGTTCTGTCTTCTGTTAGGTGAAGGCAAAGTCTGGATAACTCTTACCCCACAGTGCCCAATAGTTGCTAACATGGGACACGTGTAGTGTCCCAGGCCCTTGAAGCCTGCATGACCCTTTCGGTCCTCCCACCGTCACTGGGAGGGGGCTGAGACCCAGCGAGGCTGACCAGGACCACACAGCAGCTAAGTCGCTGCCGGGGATGTGCCCCAGGCCCTGTGCAGTCTGGCTGTTGGGGGGGCGGGGGGGGGGGGCACGCTCTGCGGGAGCAGGCAGGTCTCCTGGGCTGGAGCAGGGCTGAGGGGGGTGGTTCTGCACATTTTCAGGTGCCAGTCTTCACACCTAATTAGCCCTTGTCTAAACCCAGGAAAGGCTGGGGGGTGGTATTTCCTTCTCAGTGAAGCCATTGAAGTTACAGTTTTGAGTCGCCCACTCAGTTGACATGGGTGGATGCAAATGTTCTTCTTGGACTCTGCAGGCATCCAGGGCTTCTGCAAGGACTTGTTAGAGGTCGCGGACATCCTGGAGAAGGCCACACAGTGTGTCCCCAAAGAGGAGATCACAGAGGACAACCCGCACCTGAAGAACCTCTACGAGGGGCTGGTGATGACCGAGGTCCAGATCCAGAAGGTGTTCACGAAGCACGGCCTGCTCAGGCTGGACCCCGTGGGCGCCAAGTTCGACCCCTATGAGCACGAGGCCTTGTTCCATGCGCCGGTGGAGGGGAAGGAGCCGGGCACGGTGGCGCTGGTGAACAAAGTGGGCTACAAGCTGCACGGGCGCACCCTGCGGCCCGCCCTGGTGGGGGTGGTGAAGGAAGCGTAGCTTCTCTCCGGCTGTGGGTTGTGGGTAGTCACTGGCGGTAACTCTAAAAGGCTGGTTCGTCCGTGAATACTCCTGCCCTTTCCCAAACCTTGTTGGAAAGCTTCCGTAACCGGTGGCTACCCAGGAAAGTGGGCCCATTGCACAGCTGTTACTGGACTCGAATTTGGGAGCCTGTTGATTGATTTTCAGTACATGTTTAGTAGTTCACATGCTTACAGAACAGGCCACCACCGGGCCCTCGGGTATCGTGAATAATGCTACATCTGCTCAAGTCTGATGACACCGAAGTATTTAAAACGAATAAAAGGTCTCTGGGAACTGTGCTGTTTGGCTAGGGCCACGCCATCGGCCCTGTGCGCCTTCTGCTGCTCGCTGCCATGCGAGCGCGGCAGGCCTCGCCCTCTGCACTCACTGGGGAGGAAAGGCAGGAGTGTAACTGGTTCTTGCTCAGAACACGTGTGTGCGCCTGGTGGACAGGCGAGTCCGCCTCATCACCGTCTGGCTGCTAAGTGGCTGCCCTCTGGCTTGTCTTTGGAGGCACCTTAACCCTTCTCCCCTAGAATAAGACGAATGTGCCAGAATCAGTTACTCTTGTCCTGTTTTGTTCAAATACGTGTAGAAATGTTTGTATCTAATATTCAGCCAGGTACTGATGACCTGAAGGTATGTCCCTAGTAAGATGGTCTTTCTCAACACCCGAGGGCTGCATGCTTGGTAAATTTTAAATGTGAATGTTTAGTTTTTAAATCTATTCAAGAGGATTAAAGCCCCAATGTTTATTTTCCTACTTTCTGATAAGTCTTTTGCGTACCTTGGTGGCGATCCTTACTAAGGGGAGTGTGACTTGGCTGTGTGCCTGACACATACACGCAGACACGTGTTTGCTTCCATCCGTCCCCTGCAGGCTGGCGTGGGACTGGCCTGCTCCGGGTGGACGTGTCTGCCTAAGGTCCGTGACGGGACCACACACCCGGGACCCACGACAGGAAAGTCTGCGGAAGCTGGCCTGTGACTCCCCATAGGACCCTCCGTATCTGTTACAAGCAAAAAACAGCTGCTACCACCTTGGCCTAAGGGGTGCGGAGAAAATATGGGGCAATTTTACTTGGCTGATCATTTTGAAAGATGTAATATTGCCATAATTAAGATTTCAGTATATATAATTTCAAACACTTTTCTCCTTCAAATATTTTTTTGTAAGACATCCCAGAACTAAAGGCCGCCCCGCCTCACACTGAGGGATGGGACTGGGAGTCGCAGCTCCGCCTTCACTTGAGCTGTGAGGGCCTCCCTTCCCTCCTGCACTCACTGGGAAGGCGAGGCTGCACAGAAGTCGTTGCAGATCACTCTTGTGCGTGTGCAGCCTCCCTCCCTGTGTAGAGCTAGCCCAGCTGAGACGGGCAGGTAGCCCGCTCCACTGGGAACCCAGCTCCTCACTAGTCTGAGCCATCGGTTCCCATTCACAGGGACACCACCATGCACAGCACATCCTCAGGGAGTCCACAGGTTCTGAGACGGAGAGAAACCACATAAAATGAAGGCAATTTTACCTTAGGCTACTGGGTACAAATGCGTAGGGTTCCTACAGCATCTCAACATTGTAACAAACATTTGAGGACCTGCGATACAGCTTTACACTAGAAATTAGAGTGGTCAGCCATCCACACTTGTGGGTTTGGCTTAGGTGCAGCCTGGGGACACGTACAGTGTAGACAGTCCAGGCAGCGCTCCGTCTACTGACAGCCCTTGGCAGCCCGGCCTGCTCCATGGACATGCTTTTGCTGGTGCCTTACAGGGAGCAAGGGCTGGCATGAGGGTTTCCTCTTAACAGAAAGCAAGGCTGAGTCTGAAGAAGCTGGTTTGACAAGTGCCAGCTAACGTGCCCGTGCTGCCCCCACCCGCGTCTGAGAGCCGGCCCTGAAAGGCTGCCTCGGGCTCGTGGCACAGGTGCTAAGAAGCAGTGAGCGACACGGTTTTGTTCGCAACTTGTTTAATAAGGAAAGGGCAGTAAAAACGGTCAGGTCGGCTTGAATACATTCCTGGAACGCTGCATCCAGAGAGGATTCCAAATAGCTGAGTTATGGAACTGGACTCAAAGGTTGGAGTTTAAATTTTGAAGACCTAATTCTTGGGATTGTGGTAACTTAACTTATGAAAATTAAATACAGAAATGTCAAGGCTCTGCTAACAGCAGGGGCAAAGACTGGCAACAGGAGTGGACGGGATAAAGGCAACCAATCAAAATCACTTCCCTTGTAACCAAGGTAACACTTTAACATAAATTATACATTCATTGTGGTGTTTTAAAACAGCCACGCCTAAAGTTCTTCACGCCATCAAAAGATAAGCACCCTCAAACCTCCAGCACCACGCATTCACTTGGCAGCTCTCGACTGGCCACAGCTACTGGGGCACCTGCTTCTCCAGCTTAATGAAGCCTGGCAACCCCTGTATAGAAAAATAAGATGACATCTAAACCTCACCAGACGAGGCATCTGACAGAAAACCCACGAAGGATGACACCAGGTCAGCTAAAGCCAGCGATTCTCAAATGTTAGCTTGCACCCAGGCCGCCTGGAGGCTGGCACAAAGGGCTCCGTGGGCCCAGGACTGGGGGCTGCTGCTGCTGGTCCAGGAATCCTGGGTGAGGGCCACCGGCTAAGTAGCGGCAAGGCAGCACTGCCTCCCTCGTAGCCAGTGGCAACACCAGCCCCACGGAGGGCAGTCACCCGCAGGGGCAGTGGAGGTGGCCCTCACGAGTGACACCACTGCTCACACTTGTCAGCGAGAAGTCTGGCTTAGCAGCAAGGAGCGCCTCTGCCGCAGGCCTTGCGCTTTACTACAGCCGTACACAACCCACCTGAGATGTTTCCGCTAACGCTGAGAAGCTACCCTCGGGGACAGAGAGATGTAGAAAGAAAGGAAAAGGCACCATAATGAGGTCATCCTTGGAAATGATGAGGGTCTTTTTCAAACTTCACTTTAATGTAACGTCAAGCCCAGACATTGAGAGGTCCTCTCTCCATCACTGTGCGGGCCAGGGGCCGGCAGGCGGCTGGGTCTGCAGTCATCACCGACTCTAAGCGGGTCTTGGACGAGAGAACCCTGAGCAGCCCGGAAGACAAATGGCCACCCAAGTGCCAAAGGGAGGTACCGTGTAAGAGGCCCCTGAAAAGACCTCTAGAGAGGGCTGGGCAGAGCCATGTCTGAGTCTGGTTAAGACAGTGACTCAGGACCAACGGCCACATGGGCCGGCCCGTCTCGCCTGGCTAGTCTGCAGGGTACAAGGCCACCTGAAGGTCAGAGGCTTGGCCAGGCTAGTGTGGTCAGGGTTTCCCTGAAAAAGGTACTTGGAGCTGTGAGACACCAACACCAGAACACAACTTAGCCATGAACTGCCTAAAACAAGGGCTTGCAAGTAAAATACACGTAAGTCCAAAGGGCAGCCAGCAGCTGCCCCCCAGGAAAGGGCTCAGTCCTGGCCATTGCACTGGTCCTGGCTGCCATGCTTCCCACAGCCACCCTCTACGCTAGGGGGCGCTGCCCATTTCCAAACTGAGGGGGGGGTCGGGGCTCTGCCCAGTGGGCGCAAAAGGGGCAGTTTCGGGGCCTGGGAACTGCAAACTCAAACTGCCGCTGCCAGTAGCTAAGGGGAAGCTCATTTGGTCTCTGTTCGCTACCAGCCTCTTCCTCACAGTCCAAGGAAGCTTGACCCTGCCCTCTGGCCTCACTGCCCACCTGCCCAGCGCCATCTACAGTGCCCCGCGCCGGAGCCAGTGTCACAGGCAAGGCTGGCAGCCGGCGGCCAGCACAGGTGTGCACCGAAGCGAAGGGGCTCCCCGGGCCGCTCCCATCTCCACGTTCTCCACACGCAGCACAAAGGCGAGCGTCGTCTTAGCGCATTGCTTTTAGCACTAAGGTACAATATGCCTGCATCTGCTTCCCTCATGATCTGACCTAAGATTGTTACTATTGCTTCTTCCAGAGGACCGCGAGAACAACTTACATCCTAAAAAAGAAACTCAATTTGCTGAAAAAACAACCATGGGGAAAGCGGTTGCTGTCCCCGCCCAGTCATTTGGCTCACAAGCGCCCCGGCTCTGCCCCTTCAGGAGGCGTCCCTGGCTATCCACCCGCTCTCGGTGAGGAAGGTTAAAATCCTTTTCTTCAGGACCTTGTCCAGGTAGCTGGGCAGGCGGCTCTTGGAGGGGATGCCCTGGCGCTTCTGGAGGTGGTCTTTGATGATGATGGTCTTGGCGGTCACGTAGCGCGCGGGGCTCAGGTTCAGGGAGCTGCAGAGCGCCTTCTCGCGGTCCGACAGCAGCTCGAAGCCCGGCAGGTTCTCCATGGCGGCGAACTCGCCGTCCTTGGCGTCCTCCCGCCCGCGCTTGGCGCCCGCCGAGTTCCGGTTCTCCTTCCGCTTCTCCCGCTTGTGCCGGGCCGCCTCGTACTCGGCCGACTCCTCCATCTTGGTGATTCCGTTGCGCCGGTACCGCTGCAGCTCCCGGATCTTGGCGCGCAGCATCTTCTCCTTGTGCATGTTCTCGAACAGGTCGTCGAACTCCTTGCAGGACATGAACTGGTAGAGCGGCCGCAGCTTCAGCCGCAGCTCCCGCTCCTCCTTGGTGATCTTGCGCTTGGCCGCCTTCTCGCGCTCCTTCTTGTCCTTGCCCAGAAAGGCCGGCACCAGGTTGTAGTCGCGGGCGATGTTCTTGCGCCGCTGCCGCTCCCGCAGCTTCCGCACGTACATGTCCACGTGCGCGCGCTTGAGCTCGATCTCCACGTCGTCGTCGTCGTAGTTGACCGAGAGCCCGCTGATGAGCGTCTCGGCGTCCTGGTCGTACTCGATCTCGTAGTCGTCGCGCAGCGGCATGTAGCCCAGCTGCTGCTGCTCGGCCACCGAGATGTCTAGGGGAGGCAAGGGGGTGGTGAGGCTGGGAGAGAGGGGGCCTCCACTGGGGCAGGTGTGGTCGGTCACCCGGTTGGGGATGGTGTCGGGGATGCAGGCCTTCCCCAGGTTGCCGTGGATGTACATGCTTACGTAATGCTCCATCACTTCCTGGGGAGTCCGGGAGGCCCCTACGTGAGCAGCCATGTCTTCCTACAACGACAAAGGTCAGAGTCATTCCCAAAGCCAGAGGGTCAGACTCAGGGTTCCCACAAATCCCCTCAACCTTTCCCCAAGGCGACCTGGACTACTCCTGTCCCATCATGACCCCTCCCCACACAGTCCACGCCCTCTCCTGGACAAAGTGAATCCAGAGATGTGGACACTCGCCAGGCCTCAGGGGACCGGCGGCAGAGCTGAGACCGGAGCCCTCCTCTGAGATCTGAATTGGCTGCTGGTTCCTGAAATAGACGAGCAGGGCCCACCTGGTGCTGGTGTTTCGCCCATTAGTGTTGCATTTGAGGTGGGAGGTTGTCTGTCTGTGAAGGGACACAGGTGGGCAAGGCCACAGAGCACCGGGTGCCCTGCTCCTCCCAGTCTAACCTCCTCATTCCCAGACTAGAGAACAGAGTGGTCCAGAGTTCATGGCCAGGTTCCCTGGCTACCAGAGGGACCCCATTCTACCGTGCTGTCCGCCTCTGGGCACCGGGAGGGCCCCGGCCCTGTGGCTGACACTCCCTGGCTGGAAGCGCCTCCGAAAGGGGCGGGCTCTCATTCCCGACAGCCCCGTGTGACAGCCCCGTGTGGCGTTGCTCTCTGACGCCTGCGGGCTGAGCACTCACTCTGCGAGGTCACCGTGCACATCAGGGTTATTAACGGGAGGAAACGGTACAACTCCCTCAATCCTTTCCTCCTGCCAAGAGGCCTCTTCCTTAACTCAACCGCCAAAGCCACTTCAGAAAGCCAGTGCCCCAGCAGCACTCGGCGCCCGCAGCCTCCACCCCTCCGCCTGCTCTCCTGACACACGCTGCCTTCCGCCCAGCAACACTCACCCCGCAACCTCGGGCTGGTTTCTGTACCCCCAAAGGCCAAACTGGAACCCAAGAAACCAGCCACTCCATGCGGCTGGGCTGATGACAAGGTGGGCATGGCAGAGAGGGAAGTGTTTGTGGTGCGGTGACCAGACCCTACGTCTGAGGCCCCAGTCAGGGCCCAGGCCCCTGCAGGCACTCCAGCCCCCCGCACTGTGGTGCCGAGGGCAGGGCTTACGACACAGGAACAAAGAAGGCCATGCTGGGACCTACCGTGAGCAAAGGGAAGGTCAGAGCTAGAACTCGGTCCTGGTCTCATGAGGATGAAATTTACATACTTTCTTCTTTAAAAAGCCAAGAGCCTCAACTCTGTTCGTTATATTTTCCCAGGAAGCATGTGGTCCAAAAAGAAAAACCAAAACCAAACCACAAGCATCCCCAGCATCTACTGCCACTCTGACCCCGGCTGGCCACGCCCACCTGACTGCCCTCGGGGGTGGTGGTACAGGCACGTGGAGCCTAGCCCATCGGCTCCCCAAGGCTGCAGGGGCCTCCCGGGCAAGGAAGCTGGGTGCCGCTTACGGGAGGCTCGGAGGGGCTAGGCTGCGAACCCCGTTGCATGTCAGGAATTCAGGACCGGGCCTCACCCCCTCCCAGGTCCAGTGAGGCCTGCAATGCAGCGCCAGCTGCCCTCCCAGCGAGCCTGCCGCTCCCCTGAACCTCAGCATCAGCAATCTGCCTCCGCGTCCTCAGCAGCTCAGAGCACCACATTCGGGTAAAACTTAAATCCGGAAAGAACAGAAGGCTTCTGGCTAATCAAGGGTACCTGACCAAACCGAGATGATCTGCTCCTGTTTTTGTTTATCTCCATCAACGTCAGCACTCTGGGAGCAGAGCGCAGGAAGCAAGGCAGCCCCAGGGCAGCGGATGCGTGGGCCACGTGGGGCAGCTCCGTCCCCTCCAGTGCTCGCCAGGTGTCTCCTGGGCCGGGCAGGCAGGAGGGCCAGCTGTGGGCACTGTGCTGACACCGGCTGTCTTTAGGTTACAGAGGGGACTTTGCTCTCGGATGCTCCATGTGAAGCCACAAATCAGAGGGACAGGAGCCAGGCGCTCCCATGAGTACAGCCTCAGCCACTGCCCAGGACAACTAAGCCTCACTAGGAGCCAGGGCTCAGCGATTTCCGAAAGACAAGCGACCCTCAGGGCACCACGCCACTGAATGATGAGTCAGGAAAACACACAGACCCTAATCCTCAAGACCTGTGGAATGGAGATGAGGGTCCTCGTGGACCAGCCCACGGACAGCACAGCTCTGGTTCTAACGGAGTCCGTTCCGCGAAGCTCCACCTGAGGAAGGGTGTCTAACGTGACTGACTGAGCACCGGCCTCCGCTCTCCACTGCGAGCTGGCACCTGTCGCTCAGTCCCAGTGCCTCCTCCAGTCTTCCACGTGCCGTGGTCACGCAGCACTGCCCGCCTCCTGCGAGTGCGAGACGCGTCCTGTCACCGCATGGCGGCAACACTCCGGACAGCAGCAGACCCCTGGGGGCGGCTCTCCCGCACGTGTGCCAAGGCCAAAGTGTTTCTCTGATCTGGATGGATGGTTGGGGAGGCAGAAGCAACAGAATTTGGGGAATGAGATTTGGAGAGAAAGTTCAACTCAAGTACAACTAAAACAGGGAACACACTGTCCTGAAGTGCCCCCCCCCCCCCCCCCCCAGCACACAGTGACAGCGGGGACGCAGCCCAAAGCCCACGGAAGCCGGGTTCCAGGTTTGTTCCTTCCTTCATGTTCTCTTAGAAGAAAAGAGACTCCCACCTTCGGAAAAAGACAGAGACAGGTGTGCTGCTTCTCTAAAGTCCTTTGAAAAGGGTAAGGTGTCGCTAAGACACGCGAGGCCCAGGAGGTCTCCTTTCCAAGATCCCTGGACTCTGGCCAGACGCTGCCTCCAGGAGAGGAAGTGAGAAGTGCTCTGGGGCCTGGCCTCCAGCACCTGACCAGAAAGAGGATGCAAACAGTCCAGAGAAATCGTCGTCAATGTGGTCGGCGGCTCCCACCAGTGGGGCTGGCTCAGGGTTCTCTCCTCCGGGTTCCAACCAGAGCCACCGCCACCGTTCTGACCTGGACACCCCCACACAGGGATTCAACGGGCCAAACCTTTAGAGGCTCCCACCAGGGAACCACAGCCTCTCACACGGGGCTGGCCACCATCTAGGGTGAAATGTAAAAACATAGGGAGGCCGACGCAGACTTTCCTGAAAGCTAAACTTTGCCATTTAAAGGATGGCCCCTCACCTTACTATCTGGGTGTGTTTAAGATCATCTTTCTCTTTGTGAAATGGTGATAGCTAATTGGCCTTTAAACATTTTTTCACTATCCTTACGTGGCGAACCTAATGCCAGCAATTTCCTTTCAACATGAATGGTCTACAAAATCTGAAGGTCTGGGCAGTGCGTACCTGCCAGCGTCAGCCATGCTCCTCCTGCCATCCAGGGGCCTTGCAGACCATCCCCGCCCCTCCCCTGCTGGAAATGCCTTCTCTGGGTGCAAGGGCTCTGGGGCAGCCTTTGGGGTTCCGGTCCTGGCTCCACCCCTTAGGAGCTGACAACTGGAACACAGTGCTCAGCCTCTGTGCCTCAGCCGCCTCCTCTGAGTTACGAAGGTATTGCACGACCTACTGCACAGCTCGGTGAGGACGGTTAAGTGCGGTCACGCCTGTGCAGCTGGCCAGTGCCCGGCGTGGGGCTGTGTTCCCTCCATGGTGGCGCCTGTTACTGCTATGAAGCTGTTAGCTTCCTCCACAGGACACAGTCACCTCCTCCAGGAAGCCGTCAGTGGCCCCAGAGCTGAGTTCCGATTCTGACTCAGTGACCCTGGCTGTGAGAGCCTCATCCTACCAGCTTCTGCTCCTCCATCGGTAAGCCTCCTGTCGAAAGGCTTTGTCCAGACAGAATAGAAACCACATGACAGGAAGTCGCTGTGGGAGTGCATGCCAAGGTCACCTCACCTCACCTCCTAGCACAGTGAGAGAGAACCTATGACACGCAAACTCATTTTTTTGGTTGAATTTTCTTTGTTAAATGGCATTTAAATATATAAAATAAATATCAAAAATATAAGTCTTTGTTTTACTATGGTTGCAAAGATAAAAAAATTTCTATATGTTACTCGGCACCAGAGTTAAGTTAGGGTTTTTCAAAATGCTGGCACGCCGAGCTCAAAAGGTTCACCAGCACTGGCCTAGCAGTTCCCACGGGCAGGAGCAGCCCAGCCACACACTTTGTGGGACAGGAGACTAAACAGGCTGAGCAGCCCAGAGGCCTGTCCCCACACCAGTGCGCGGTGCTGGTGACACAGGAGGAGGCTGACCAAATGCGTCCTGGTGCTTGAAACCAGCAGAGCGAGGCCGACGGGGCTGCTTCTGTCCAGACAAAGGCGCTGGGTCCGGTAAGGGCACTGTTCAGTGTCCGCAAACGCAAAGCGGCTATCTTTAGCTCCACAGCCAGCCCGCTGTGCAGGTGGGGGTTCTGCCCCCGCCCCCCAGCACTCTGAATGCGCAGCAACCCCCCACCCCCACCCTTCTCCAGGGGTCTGGGCCTGCTCTGCAGCAGGCCTGGGGCTGGGGGGGAGAGGAGCAGCGGGGATTTCCTTTGAGAGATGGAAGCGACCAGAGGCCCACCGCATGGAGCTGCGGCTCCCGGGGCTCCTGGGCACCAGCACTGAGGTGGCGAGGGGGAGCGGAGGCCTGCACAGGGCCAGGAGAGAGCAGTCTCTGAGGGATGTGGCGCGTCCTAATGGATGGGGAGGGCCCGTCCAGCTCCAAGGGCGGAGTGAGGCAGGCCGGACATCCGTGGTCCTGGGCAGCTGCGGGGCCAGCAGACTGGAAGCCCTGGAGGGGCACTGCCAGGATGACCCTCAGCCCTTGGCTCATGTCCAGAGTGTTTGGCATGTGTCTGCTCTCACACGCTGGCGGCAAAGGCCAGCGGGGCTCAGACTGACCGGTCACTGGCCTTGACACCTCGCAGGCAGGCTCGCTGTGAGCGGGAGACCCAGGAGGGCCCCCCAGGGCGGTGCTGTGACAGCCGCCACATCTCTCAGTCACCTCCCCGTCTCCTTCCCCAGCTGACTGGGTCCGGCCAGGCCGGTTCCTGCCCTCGGTGAGGGAGCTGTGGAAACGGCACCTGGGTCCTCAACAATCCAACGGAACTGCCACAGGACCCACAACCCCACCTCTAGGTGTTCGCCCAAAGGGACTGAAAGCAGGGACTCAACAGTAACTGTCCGCCAGGGGTGGGGAACCTTTTCCTGCCAAGGGCCACTTGGATATTTATAATATCACTCGCAGGGCATACACAATTATCCACTTAAAACTCAGCCTGCTGTATTTGGTCAAACATTTAATCAACTCACCCCCGATGCCTTGGCAGGGCCAGACCACATGATTCGAGGGCCTTCTTTATACAGCCTGCGGGCCGGACGCCCCCCACCCCTGCTGTGCGCCTACGTTCACGGAGCATTATTCACAGCGGCCCCAGTGGAAGCCGCCCAGTGTCCATCGATGCGGGAGTGGTCAGCGAAAGGGGTCCACCCACACGGCCAATGCCCTGAGCAAGGAGGGGATTTGGACCGCCCTGCACGTGGAGGAGCCCGGAGGCGGGATGAGCCAGACACAGCGAGACAACGCTGAGCGATGCCACGTATGCGAGGCCCCGAGACTCAGGCTCAGAGACAGAAAGCAGATGCTGGTGCCAGGGCTGGGGCGGGAGGGAGGAGGTGAATGGGGGCAGAGTCCCAGTGGGAAGATGGCAAGTCCAGGAGGTGATGGTGGCGACGGCTGCCTAACAATGTGAATGAGCCTAATGCCACCGACCTGGGCCCCCAACAAGGGTTACAAGGTGAATTTCCTCGTTTGTGTATTTTAGCACAAAAACAAACTTTTAAAAATAAAACAGAACTGGAGATGGAAGAGTGCATAGAAAGGATAAATGGTGATGAAAACATAAAATAATTTTTAAAAAACATAGAAATAAAAAATAACTAAAACGTTTACGCGGCAGGCTGCCGTCCGCCTCAGTGGCTCCTGCAGCGGGTCCCGCAGCAGCAGCAGCGGCCCCGGCACTGAGAGAAGGCCCGCGTCAGGCTCAGGCCCCGCCCAGACAAGCCCTCCAGTGTTGCGCACCCTGCCCAGGCCCCGAGCCACTGCCGGCTGCTTTCTCCATCCGGGCTCTTCCCTCCTCCCTCCACCCAACAGCAAGTCCTCAAGTCCCACCATCCATCAGATGCTCATGGAAGGGGCTCACCTAGCGCAGAGGGGCCGTCTCCCGCCGTGAAATGTGGTTCCGGGGACCACCTGTCAGAACTCCCTGGGAATCGTCCACAATTACCATTTCCGGACCTCCCGTGCGCATTCAGGAGGGCTGGGGTGTCCCTGGGAATCGGGGATCCTCAGGTGACTGTGCTGTGCAGTCAGACGGGCTCCAATTCTTTCACGCTACAGCTGCGTCCTCATTTGTAAACGAGGACTAGGGGGCCGTGGCTGGGGGCGAGCCAACGTCCAAGGCCCAGCTGAGAGCTGGGCTCAGCTCACACGTGCACTTGGGGCAGCTCAGTGTGAAGCAGCTCCAAAGCCTGTTCCGCCGGGTGGGCCGGTGCTCAGGATTTTCAACATGTGACCCCACACCCCCTTGCCTACCTGTCCTGGCCCCCGAGCACACCCACCAGACCCCTGGGCAGGGGAAGCCCCTGGTCCACACTGTCCTTCCGCGGAAAGCCTTCTCCTCCTCCCACAAGGAGGCCGAGTTCACGTGACCACACAGCTGTACAGGGGCGCAGCTGCCTCACTTCTATGGTGTTTCCGCCACCGAGCACAGGCCCCGAGTGAGGGCTGCCTGCATGAGCGAGCGGCTAAGCGCACAGAGCAGCACTATCTCCGCATCTGCTCTTGCCCGGCCTCTGAATGTCCACTGTCGTCTACCAAAGTGAAAGGCTTTATTCATGACACTCACGGCCTCCGACAGCGAGCCGGAATGCACGGACGCGGGCGAGAATTTCACATACTTAAAAAAATGTTTTTTTACCATTTTGAAACTACGCTGTAACCTCAAGCAACATCACCTTCAAATGATTTTGTCTGGTTTTCTTACCAACAAGGACATGCTCCTGCATAACCACAACATCACGAGCAAAATTAGGAGATTTAAAAGCTGCACCAAAACCTCTGTTCCTGCTGGTTTCAGCAGTCGCCCTAACAAGCTCCTTCCGGGCACAGGGCCCGTGCAGGACCCGGCGTCATGTCTAGTCTGCCCAGTCCTGGCCTTTGACTCTCCTCCCCAGCGTGGGCCCCCCCCGCCCCCTTCTCACTCCACTCAGATGCTGACATCCATGCTGGGAAGCCCTCATCAGTCCTGGGTGATGACACCTCACAGGCCCCCCTCCCCCAGGAGGGCTCCGACTTCCCGGGGCTGCTGCCCAGCCTCTCACCCTGTGGGGAAGCCCCGCCTGCCCAGGCTAGTGCGCACACCTGCCTCCCGCGGCTGCGCAGTCTACAGAAAACGCCACACTCTTCAAATTCAAAACCTAGGTTAGCTTCGAAGCTGGCTTGACCGCCTCCCCTGAAGTCGCCCTGACCACCACCTGCAGAGGACCAGGCCACCCTCAACCCTTCCATTCTCCCCACACTCATCTCCCAGCCACGCAGGGGTTCACGTTGTGCTCGTGTGACCAGGACCTGGATTTCCGGGAATCCGCACAGCACCCAGCCCTGAACAGCTGCGTAAGGTTCTCAAAACCCGGGTGAAGGGACTGTGGGTCACTGTCCTCCTGCTAGCCCTCCCCTGGTCTCAACTCACAGGCCTCCTTCCCCCACTCCCTGTCCTCTCCCGGGCAGTCATCAAATGCACAGGCACAGTCAGAGCCTGGCCTCGCTGCTCCCCAAACCCTCGCGGCCGCAGGGCATCCCTCAGCCTCGCCTGTTCCCGGGAAGTGTGAGCAAGTGGGGCCAGACTTCAGCCACAGCCCTCCCGCTACGGTCTCCTGAAATCACCCCTCCCAACTCCACATAAAGCAGCACAACCCCAAGGTCACAGGCCACGGGCCCTCTGAGAAACTGGAATGAACAACCTCACCTTCCTCTACATCACTGTCCCCGATCGGCACGCTGCCTTTCTCCAGACTCAGCCCAAGCCTGGCACCTGCACTGAGACCTTCCCTGTCCCACACAGCGCCCGCCCGCCTGCTGAGCGAGGGCAACTTCGTTCCTCTGCAAAACCCTTCCAGGCCGGCCACATCTTCAGTTCCCCACCGAGCTCCAGCCTCCGTGTGGCCCACATCAGTGAATGCTCTTACACCGGGAAGTTAGGGTCCAGGCTTTGGAACCCACAGGACTGCGTCTACACCCTGACTTTACCACATGAAAAGCCAGGACATTCTGGACAAATATTAAAAACTAGTGACCCGGCGCACAGATTCGTGCATCTTGAAATTAATTAGAAGGTGGCCCGCAGAGCGGGACTGGGTGAGATGGGCTGGACATGCCCTGGAGCCAACCTCCCCCCATGGCGTCTGTGGCCCCTCGGCCTGGCCTGCGGGGATCAGGCTGAAATGGCTCTCCAACACCCCGAGAGTCCGGGAGTGCGAGAGGGCACTCTGCAAAGTTGCTGCAGTACAGGGTGTGGAACGCAAACCAAGGGAGCAATAAATCAAATTCTGGGCCGACAGTGCCCAGCAACATACCCACAGCCGAAGGTGGAATCGCGCGGCCTCGCAAGGAATCAGGTGGCCCCACGAGGAATCGGGCTCCCACCTCTCTGGTTTCGGGGTTCGTCACCCAAGAACCGCTGCTGCCAAGTCACTGCAGCTCGGCAGCTCCCTGGTGGTCAGTGCGCGTCACAGCTACTGGTAGGACAGTAGGAGGGACACAGCGTATCAGCCTTTTACACGTATAGATGAGTCGCTGTTCTTCAACTACACACTGAGAAGCCACTCCAGGCTGCGGTGCAGAGTGGTGACATGCATAGAGGAGCCTGGCCCAGAACTGCACACGCTGAACACGGCACACCTGGAATACAGCACGTGTGTGTATCTACAGATCTGCTCGGAAGGGAGCCACACATCTGAGAGCTGCACATGAAGTGTCAAGGGTAGAGCAGGGAGCCCAGCCAGAGCCTCAGAGCCCCGTGCTCCTGGGGCCTGTGCAGGCGAGGCTGGCACGCAGAGCTCCTGACAGGGCTCTTGGAGGGAATCCGCATTTTAATCAGCTCCCCAGGTGCTGTGTATGCACATTAAAGCCTGAAAAGCACTGCGGTAGACAATGCCCCCCTCTCAGCCCCAGGCTCCCTCCAAAGCACTATAAATGTTTTAGGCCTTGGGCTTGTTTTTCGTCTATTTCCCACAATGCTGTGCGGGAGGCAGTGCAGACAGTGCAGCGAGGAGCAGACTCTGAAGTCAAACTATCCCATCCAAACCTGCTGCACTGGCCCCGGGAGGTCCCAGGAGGCATGCACAGCGAGGGCACTCGGCAAGGCCCGGGGCCACGCCAGCTACTTCAGCTGCTGCTGTGGAGCCGAGTGCTGTGGGGGTGAGGATGACGTGGGGAGGGAATGTCTGAGGCACTGACAGAGGAAGAAAGACCAGTCACGAACCATAACTTGGGAGAAGAGACCTCTAGGTAGAAGGAATGAAAGATGATGAAGGGGGCAGCAGCTCAGACCCCACAGCCTCGTGGGCTGTGAAGTGTAATCTAAGTCGGTCTGGAAGCCACTGAGGGACGTGAGTGACATGTCTTCAGAGCACCGAGCTTGGTGTGGGACGGGCGCAGGGCTCGAGGTCGAAGCAGGGAGACCATATGGGAAGCTCCCGAAATGGTCAAGGCAAGAGAGAAGCAGCAGCCTGGACTGCGCGGCTGTGAGAAGCAGCTCCTGGCCGGACTATTTCGGACCTGGCGGAGGAGCGGAGGGTGCTCCGGGCCTGCAGCCCGAGTGGCTTAGTGAGGTGAGATCTGCCCGAGGCGTCCAGCAGAGAGCAGGTGGACGTCCGCCGGTGGCCTCTGACATGAAGGCTGGATCGTGGGAGAGCTCCTGGCTTGGGACGTGATTACAAGCCTGAGGACGAGGACAGACCTTCCTTCCCCTCTCACCTCCCGTCTGTGCTCACGGGCATCACTCACAGCATTTCAGGACCCGATGCGGGCGTAGGGGAGTGCGTAGAGCGGTGTCTCGCAGTTGGGAGGAGAGTAAAGAATCCAGGGTGCACAATGGGTACTGGTCCCCAAAGACCGGCTCACTTTACAGAAAAGAACAGAAGCAGGACAGGTTCGGGGGCGGGGAGAGGTGTGTCCTCCGTGGGAGCCCGGCAGGAGGAGAGGCTGGTTCAGGGAAGAAGGGGCCCATCCTGTGGGGCTGGGGGCGCCCTGGCTTCTCATAATGCCTGGAGGCACCACCGACCCTTGGCAGTTCCCGCCCGGGCCCCGAGCGGGGACACAGCCAGATCTTTCCTAACAAACACAGAAGACAGCGCCCTCCTGCCGAGCGGACAGGGCTGGGGAGACCCCTCCAACAGCGCTTCTCTCCAGGGCTGGCACACCAGCCCGCGGGCACCACCTGCTCCTGTCACCTGTCCCTCCAGAGACCTGACACAAACCAACCCCGGACAGACGCCTCCATAGCCCACGCTGCTTGGTGCAGCTCCCCCTGACCGCTCGCCGCACACCGACCTGGGTGTCGCGAGGGCCCAGGAGAACCAAGCCCCTGGCCAGGCGGGGGACACGGGCCACCTGCATACCCAGAGCGGCACACGGCCAGCGGGGCCAGGAGGGCAACCTCCGCCATCAGACATGGTGAGCGAGGCCCCAGGGCGTGTGCGAGGCTGGTCTGGCCGTTGCCACCGCTTTCCCCGGCAAAGCCAGCTCCTTCCCGGCGCTCCTGCTGCTCCGCAGCCTCAGGCCGGCGCCGCCTGCGCCCACCAGCTCCTCCCCAAGTCCGCGCCGCTCCGGCCCCCGGTCTGCACTCAGCAGCCACCGATGAAGTTCCTAAAGGCCAGGAACACGGCTCTGCTGCCAGAAAGCCACAGTCCCAACCCTTGTCCCGCTACTTCCTGGCTGTGTGACCTTGGGCAGGTGGCTTAACCTCTCTGCGCATCGGTTTCCTGGGCGCACGGGGCCCGGCGAGCAGGTGCACCTCGCGTCTGCCGCCCCCGAAGAGGGGACGCCCCCGGCCTCCCGCCCGGGCCGCGCAGGCCCGCCGCTCACCCAGTTCCCGAAGCCGAACTGCTCGATGGCATCCAACAGCAGCTGCTCTTCGCGGCTGGTCCAGCCGCCCTCGGCCTCCGGCCCCCACAGCGTGAAGCGCCCGCCGTCCACCAGCTGGTAGCCGTGGTAGCGCCGGTGGTGGCCGATCTCGGCGCCGGCCGAGAAGCACTCGGGGCACAGCTCGATGTCCTGGCACTCGGTGCAGCGGAAGCGCAGCGGGCTCACCTCGGCCAGGCAGTACACGCAGTACTTCTTACCGAGCTCCGCCATCTTCCCCCGCCCGCCGCCCGCGCCCGCCGCCGCCGCGCCCGCCGCCCTCGGCGCCGCCCGGGCCGCCGCCGCGCTCCAGCAACTGCCGCCCGCCGCCGCCGCGCCGCCCCGCCCAGGCGCCGCCGGAGCAGGCCAGCCGGGCCGCGTCCCGCCTCAGCACGCAGGCGCCCTCGGGCCCGGCCCGGCCGCCACCGCCGCCGTCGCCCCGCCGCATCGCGCAGGCGCCCGGCGCGCGCCACCGCGCGGGGGCTCGGCCCGCCGCTCTGCGCCTGCGCGCCCCTCGCGCGGGCCGTCCGCCCCGCCCAGCGCCTCCCGACGCCACGCCCCTTCCCGGGCGCTGGGAAACAGGCGGAAAGCAAGCCCGGCGGGCGCGCCACGCCCTTCTCGGCGCGAGCCTACGCCCTCTCCCAATCAACGCCGCCAGTCGTCCGACAGCGGCCTCCCATTGGTTTTGATCTGCTAGAAGGCGGGGAGAAGGGGCGGGATGTCGGTCGGACGCCTAGCCAATCGCCGGGCCCACCGCGAGCGCCCTGGTTGCCCCTGGAAACCGACCAGCCGGGAGCTGCGCTCAGCTGCGCAGGCCGAGTCCGAGAAAGATGGAAGGCCACTCGGAACACCCTGGGGACTCGGAGAAGGAATACGGAGATGTGGCGAGCCTGGCCCCGCGGCCGTCCGGGGTCAAGGCCAGCTCTGGCCCCCAGTCCCCAGCCGAGCCCGCGGAGCCGGTAGCCGTAGAGTCTTCGGAGAGAAGTTCCGCCGCGGTCGAGCCAGCCGAGCCCCCGGAGCCGGCCGAGTCGGACAAGCCGGCCGAGCTCGCCGAGCTCGGGGAAGGGCCGTTGGCCACCGAAGCTGAGGGATCCGGAGAGCGAGAGGGGCTCGGAGAGCGGGAGCGGCCGGCCGAGGCCGAGGCCGAGCCTGAGCCTGAGAAGCCGACCGAGGAGCCAGCCGAGCCGGGGTCCGAAGGCGGGCCCGGGCCCGAGGAACCCGAGAAGAGCGAAGAGGCGCCCGAGGAGGAAGAGGCGGAGACACCCGAGGAGGCAAGGAGTAAAAAAGCCTCATCGCAGGCTTCGGTGCGGCGGTCCGCCTCATCGCAGGCTTCGGTGCGGCGGTCCGCCTCATCGCAGGCTTCGGTGCGGCGGTCCGCGACCAGCCAGGAGGAGGCTGCGCCCGTCCCGGAGGCTGAGCGCGAGGAGCTGGAGGAGGAGGAGGAGGAGGAGGAGGAGGAAGAGGAGGAGGTGGTGGAGAGCGAGGTGAGCGCGAGGAAGAGCGTGGAAGGAAGTGAGAAGGGGCTGGACGAGGAGCTCAAGGATGCGGAGTTGGAGTGGACCGAGGAGGTGCAGAGGCAGCAGGAGCAGCAGCTGCGCTCCGAGCTCCTGGAGCAGTACCGCACCCTGAGGGTGGAGCGGAGCCACTACCAGCGCTACAACATCTACCTGCAGCACAAGATCTATGAGGCGCTGCGCAAGAAGAAGGGCCTGGAAGCGGCCGAGGTGCCCGAGAAGGGCGCGGAGCCCGAGGCCCCCGAGAAGGAGGAAGCCTACCTCCACTATCTGGCCCTGCTGGAGGAGCTCAGGAAGCAGGAGGCCGACGACCTGGACTGGTACCACCAGGAGCTGGACCAGCTGAAGCAGCAGTGCAAGGAGAAGGTCTCCAGGGTGGAGAAGGAATGGCGACGATTCCAGGCACTCAAGAAGCAGGTGGTGCTGCAGGCCATGGGCAGCTGTCGGCTGAGGGGCGGTCGCCAGGCCGCCCTGCGGGAGGTGGAGCAGATCCAGGCGCTGGAGGACAAGAAGGAGAAGGAGATGAGCGCCGTGCGGCTGGAGAACGTGCAGCTGAAGCAGAGCCTCGTGCATTTTGAAACCAGGATGCGGACCCAGGAGGGCACGTCGGACGGCTTGCTCCTCATCGACTTTGAGCAGCTGAAGATTGAGAACCAGACCTTCAATGAGAAAGTGGAGGAGCGAAACGAGGAGCTTTTGAAACTGCACGGCAAGGTGAACAACAATGTGCAAATCATCACCCACGTGAAGGAGAAGTTGCACTTTGTGGATATTGAAAATATGAGCAAAAAGGCGCAGCTTTTGGAGGTCGAGGCTCAGGTGGCCCTAAGGAGGGACATCCTGACCAAGACGAAGCAAGCTCGAGACAACCTGCGGCTCGACAACATCAAGTTGAACCAGAGGTGTGGGCTCCTGGGCAAGGAGTCTCTCCTCCGGGACATGGAGGAGAAGGTGGGCAGGACCGAACAGCTCCAGCAGCACTTGGAAAACCTGCAGCGCCACCACGCTGGGCTGGCTCTGTCCTGCCGGGGGGTGAAGCAGAAGATCCGGGAAGCCAGGGCCTTCCTCCCCTCCTGACGGGCTCACCTCGGCAGACGCTATTATCAGTTAACTTTTATTCTCCATGTGTTGCCATTCTTTAAAAGGCTTGTGATATTTAGGATGGAACTACATTTTGTATTTATCTCATACTCTTTCAGCTTCGAAATGAGTGAGTGCTGGGCACAAAATTGGGTTAGCAGTGGGTTTTATTATGGGGTCAAGCAAAGCAGGTCCAGAGGAACAAACAGCAGGTGGTGTGCCCCCTTCTCGTGAAACACTGTCGAGAGTCTTTTATATCTGAGCGACTCCATCATCTCAGCGACCTGATGCTAAGGAGAACTGCCCCTCCCCCATGTCGGAGCGGCAGCCAGTGGGCAGGATGTCCCCAGTTCCTGTGCCGATTATTAAATCTCTGCATTTATTAAACTGTGCACTCCCGAGTCAGCTTCAATTCAAACCTCATGACTCCCTTAGATGAACCTCGCTTCTGGGGTAATAAAACATCCAGGAAACGGGAAATGACGCAGGAAAGGGGCTGGTGTTCATCTCCCCTTTGCTCAGTGAAAGGCTCAGTCTGCTGAGCCGTGGAAGTTTGTTTCTGGCTCAATGGCAGCCTTCAAGTCTAATGAACTGTTTTCCTGGGCCCTCTAAAGGAAAGCATTGATCTCCCCCAATAAATGAAGGTTTGTTTTCTAGTGAAGACAGCGGGGGCTGTGTTTTGCCAGGTGCAATATGTATGGAGTGGGGAGTGCCAACTGCCCATAAGCCTCTTGTTTCCGGCGAGGCAACGGGACCCCACTCTGCACATGGTTTTACTCTGTATCATACGTTAAAATGCCTATCATTCCTCGTGTTAATGCAAGAAATAGCTGATAGGCGCAGCTCCTTAATTCAGAATTGGTGAATAACATTTTTAGGGGTGGGGGTAATGCTTTAGGGGCTTGGTCTTATTCTTTTTTAAAAAAAAACATGGTTTTATTGATTTCAGAGAGAGGAAGGGAGAAGGACAGAGAGCTAGAAACATTGATGAGAGAGAAACATCAATGGGCTGCCTCCTGCACACCCCTCGCCGGGATCAAGCCTGTAGCACGGCCTGTGCCCCTCACCAGGACTTGAACCGTGAACTCCAGACTCCTGGGACGACACTCAGCCAACGGAGCCACACTGGTTGGGCGGTTTTATTTCTTCTTAATCTTAGGCTAAATTTTGAGACGTGTGGATCTGGGATTGAAAGTATTCCCTTATCTCTAACCTTGAGTGCATCTCAAGGGTGATCTATTTTTTGGTGCTAAATACCTTTTAAGAATGGCAGAAACCCCACTCAAAGCAGATGACTCCATTGGTCTGGGGAATGTCCCAATAACTTTGTCTTTTGATGCATTTTGTTTTAAAGTGTTTTTCCTTTGATGGCAATAAAGGTTGATTGAAATTTCTTTTTACATCCCACATCTTGAATACACGTGTTATCATATATACTAATCCTACCACACAGACGTAACCCCGAGGGGAGGGAAGAGCTTCACTTCCTACTCCCACTCTCCTCATCCTCTACCAGTTCTGTCTTTTCTCTGCCTGTTCATCGGCGCCAGTGAAGGAGTACATCGCTGGCAACAGAACATTCTCTTCTTTGAGCCTCATACAAAAAGCAACACTGGGTGGCTCTGTGGTTGGGAGACTTCCGAGTGCAACTACCAATATGCCTCGCCTTCACCAAGCAAATGGCCTTTGTCAGCGCCCATCCCTTAGGCTCACAAGAGGGGAAGAGGTGTCCTCAGCTGACTTTGCCACGTTAGCAATTATCCAGGTCGAACCGAACACCCGCATCGGCCATGGCCTCCGCATCAGGCAGGTCTGAGTGCCAAGATACAAGAAGCGTGAGGCTGGCATTGGCTTTTGTTGCCAATCCTCACCCAAGGGTATTTTTTCCATTGAATTTCAGAAAGAGTTTGGTCCGAGGGCTGACACTAGCCGCTGTGCGGGCCTCGGACAAGGCTGGCCTCGCTTTAGGGGCACGGCTACCAGTGCCGCTCAGATTCTATCACTGCTACAATGTTACCGTTAATTAGGAGACAATGTTGGTTACTTCACAAGGTTGTTTCTAAATAGATTATACAAGAGCTTTTAATCTCGATGGAATACTACTCAGCCATAAAAAAAGAAAATTTTACCCTTTGCGACAGCATGGATGGACTTTGAGAGCATTATGCTAAGTGAAATAAGCCAGACAGAGAAAGACAAGCACCATATGATCTCACTCATATGTGGAATCTAATGAACAAACTGAACTAATAAGCAAAAGAAAGACAGAGAGAGAGAGAGAGCAGGCAGACAGCTCTCAGTGGTTGGGGTCAGGGGGTGCGGAAGGATTGAGCAAAAAAGAAAAAAAATTATAAAACCCACTTTTACTTAACAAAACAAAGATGTTGGGTACCCTTTTTACCTTGTTTGCAGAAAAGGAAAACGATGCTTAGAGAATTACAATGCTGCTCCTCACCTTCGGCTAACTGCTCCTTAAACCTGGGTTTATTTTTGAGCTGTTTAAGAAGGGCTGTTGAAACGGGCAGAGGCCCTGCCCCTCCATCCACAGGGAACCTCCAGGGCTCAGGCATCGGGAGCTGGGCCTTGGCATGGCCGTGCGGGAGTAGCCATCCTAGAGCAAGCAGGCTGAAGGGAGGAGCGGGGCAGCTCCGGGATCCCTGGGACCTGAGATCGTGTTGAGCCCCGGGGTGGGGGGTGGTGGGGGGCGCGAGTGGGCCTGAGCTTCACGCTGCCCATCAAGGCTTCCTCTGCCAGTCCACCCGAGATACCCTTCCTCTGGTCCAGCTGGTGGCCAACAGCTCATCCCTAGTCCACCTTGGTGTCACCCTGCCTCTCCGCCCACCTGCTGCAGTGTCCTCCAACCAGCTCCTCCCCCCAGTTTCAATTAGGAAAACATTCGCCAACTTCTACCCCCACTGCTCCTGCAAGACCCTGAGGCCGGTGCCCAGGAGCTGGCCTGGGGCCAGCCTGGCACACAGGAGGGGCTCTGGGGAGTGACTCCAGGCCTCACCCCAAACCCTGCCTGTGGAGCGTGGAGCGGAGGAGGCAGGCTGCCCAGGCCTGGGGGCAAGCGGGCTCTCTGGGAGGGTGTGTCTGCACAGAGGCTGGGGGCCACAGACCAGGGGGAACCCAGCCCTGCCATGCACTGGCTGCGGGAGCCCCGGCAGATCACTTGAGTCACACCTGTGAAATGGGCACAATGACAGAGCAGCTGTAGAGACATGAGGTCACAGAGCACTTAATACAGGGGTGGCCAGCCAGCGATGTGACCACAACCGTGTGGACGAAAGGGGCCACATGCTGACCAGACCGGCTCAGGGAGGCCTGCATGGCGGTCTTGCAAACTCAGAGACCTAAAGTCACCACAAAGGATGGTCTGAAATTAAACTTTAACTAAAAGCAGTGATGGTGGGCAGTTACGTCCTGGGCCAGTATCTTCACTGACGAGGTCAACCTTCACCTTAACTGAGCCTGTCTGTCTTTTTGCATCTATGATAACACACCCTTTGAAATGTCTGGGTAACTTGTAACTTCCCTTTTTCTGGAGCCCCTGGGGCACAACCAAATGTGCTGGGCGCCAGGACAGAGACCACCAATTCCTTCATTATCATGTTAATTGTTCCTGCGCCCACCTAAGTATGTGTCCATCATTTTACTTTTTATCCAATCCCAGGGGTTTCCTCGCTTTGCTTTATCCCTCCTCCTTAATCTGTCACCAGTGAATTCCATGTAACCCACCTACGTCCCTCCTTTGATTGCAAATGTATAAATACAAATGTAACCCCGCCATTCTCCGGAGCATTATCTCAATTCGTTGAGGTTCTGCTTCCCGGCATATGTCCACAGTTTGGCTCAAATAAACTCACAAAAATTCTTCACAGGTTTCAATGATTTTTACATTAACAACCGTGACCACCCGTCCATCGCTCACCTCGCACGCAGCCTGTGGAGAAGAGAAACGGCGGCGGCGGCCAGGGAGCAAAGCAGTTCACTGGTGGGAAAGGTGGGGCTGCTGGGCACCATGTGGGGCCAAAGACATCGGAGTGGATGCCCCAGAGCTGCTGGTCCCAGTCTCCGTGAGGATGGGTGGGGAGGCGGGCTCAGGGGGCATATTCCCAGGACAGGCATGGAGGCTGAGGTGCTGTGCGGGGTGGACAGGGGGTGGCAGCATCTGGGACAGTCACAGGGGACAAACACAAGAGAGCGCAGCCCTCAGGGCTCCCTCCTGGGTCTCCTGTTCTGGCCTGACAGGTACCCCCCAGGCACCCCCGTGTGACCCACAGGATTACTCCCACTGCCTGGTGACCCTGAGGATCACTTCAGCCACCCCTTAAAGGGCAGTATTAATGATGTCCGCTCCACAGACAGGAACCAGGGTCCACACTAGCCCAGGGGAGAGCCCAGGGCGCCCGCTGATGGGGGGGTTCGGGGGGAGGGGAAGGTGAGGGGCAGGGGCTGGACATCAGCACCTGGCTGACAGGCTCCAAGCAGTTTCTGAGGAAGCGGGGACCTGACGGGCAGGGCGCAGGCTCAGGAGTGGGGGCAGGTGAGTGGCAGACTAGTGGGAAATGCTACAGCTGGGGGCAGAGTCAAGTTTGAGGGGGCAGCCAGTCCAGGGCTCCCCTTCAGCTTGGAAGGGGCGCACTAAATTCCTGAACCCCTTAACCAAATTACCCCAACGGTACCATCCTTTTGATCTCAACGATCCTTTTAAGTGATGTTTGAAATACTGGAACAGCATAACACTCCAAGTCAAATATTTGCCATACTTTACGGTAAGAACTTCAATTTTAAACCCGACTACAGGGAATATAAGTAACAATTTTACATGAGTTTTATTTAATAAAACCATATATTTACAATTCAAAAAGTCCTGATTTGATACACTTTACTACATAAGATCAAAGGCTAACTGTACAGCAATGAAAACATGGTATGTATCAAGTGTTAGCAGACATTTTCTACCAGCAAACTATTTAAAATAGTCACACTGAACAGCTAAGAACGCTCTTCTACAGGGAAGCCTGGCTCTAGAGGAGGCCCCGAGGCCCGGGCGGCTGCATCCGGTCCAGGCCGCGGGCGGGATGTGTGGGCTCCGAGGGTGGGCCTCCAGGTTTGTTCCCAGTTTTCTTAATGGATACTGGCAAGTGGAGCAGCACAGCCCTGAGCCCGGAAGCAGTCCTCTGTGCAGGGGCCACGTGCTCTGACGCGGATGAGAACTTCCTGGGCTCTGAAGGGCACAGAGCCAGCCAGCCAGCCAGCCCTCACGGGGTCCCTGAGCAGGTCACAAAAACCTTCTGAACTAGAGACTTGTAAGTATTCTGATGACATGGAATCTTGTTTAAAAATGTAATGCAGCTCTGGCCGGTGCTCAGTGGTTAGAGTGTTGGCCTGTGGACGGAAGGGCTGCAGGTTCGATTCTTGGTCAAGGGTACGTACCTTGGCTGCAGGTTCCCCAGCCCCTGTCGGGCACCTGGGGCGGGGGGGCGGCGGGGGGGGGGGGCAACCAATCAATCAATGTGTCTCACTTGGTTGCTTCTCTCTCTCTCCCTCCCTCCCTCCCTCCCTCCACTCTCTTCCACTCTCTCTAGACATCAACGGAAAAAATATCCTCAGGTGAGGATTAAAACAACCCAAAAACTTAATGCAAATTACTATCCAAAGAGGTTCAAGCCGACGAAACCCGTTCAGGGCTGGGTCTGAATGCACAGATGCACTCTGAGGGCCCCACCGCCGGCTGCACCACTTCCTGTCACGACAGAAGGAACAGCCTATGGGCGGTAAGAAAAGGTGCAGGTCTCAGGAACAGGAAGCGCGCCATGGAAGGAACGGGCGCCCCTGCGCAGCGGCTCAGTCGGATGACATTCAGCATCGGGGTGTCAGGACCGGCTGCTCTGTCTGGAAGGCTCAGGCAGATCTTCTCCCAGAGGTCGGCGAGTCAGCACTAAAGGCCAAGGCAGAGAGTGGCTTCCATGCTGCTCTGCAGCCGCCCTGGGGAATGCATGGGAGACAGAGAACAAAGGCAATTCCGGGGAAAGGACGCACAGAGCGCAGCCAGGACAGAGGCACGAGGGCGGCCACTGGCTGGCAACTCGCTATTGCACTGCAAGTGTCATCAGTGGACACGGCAGACACAGAAAACCTATCAAACAGCGCACAGCCAGCTTCACCACCGCCCACCACCCCCCAGGGCTCCTCGTTGCAGGTTACATACTGGAAGCTGAGGGCACTCTCAACATCAGACACAGGACCAGCCCGGCGGGCGGGGGATGCTCCCTGGGCTGGGAGTCCAGCCGAGAAAGGCCAGAGCCAGACCCCAGCATGCACCACACGGCTGCTGGTGCCCTGCCGCCGGGTCGCCCACACCCCCAGAGATCAACATGCCAACAGATTATCCTGTGGGAACCTGTTTCCATAGAGAGGTGCCGGTCCTTTGGACTACTTTGTGCAAAAACTATTCATTTATTGAAGTTGGATAACCAAAGTCCCTAATACAAAGTTCTCAAAATTCATCAAGGAAAATCTAGAACAAAAGAGGTGCTCATGAACTTGGGGAACCAGCTAGAACGGGAGGGTTGACGGTAAGGACACTGAAAATGTGACAGACTCTCTGGGCCACTGGATATGCGCGGCTCGCTTCTCGGTCCTCAGGAGAGTCCATCTTTAAGCCAAATGTGCGAGGAGGAAACAGGCACTCAGGGCTGCCGCTGCCGTCCAGGTGACAAAGGACAGAGGAGCAGTCTGTCAGAGCAAGAGAGCAGGGCCACACAGACACACACACACACTCACTGTGCTGTCCGTGCCTGCACACTAATGAGCAGGGCAGGCTTAACACGCTGTGACTTAAAGGGAGACGGTGTCCATTCTGTTTCCATCGGCTTCAGGGTTGTCTCTGCCGCCTGGGGCCTTCTGTGTGCAGAGCTCCTCCTGCTCCCCTTCCCTCCATTGCCCCACAGGGGCCGGGCGACCTCTGGGAGCGCAGGGCTCCTGCTGGGCCTACGCGTGCATGTCGGCCCTGGCGCTGTGACTGTCAAGGCAACATGGTAAGACGTCACTCCGAGGGCAGGTGAGTCCCAGGGCGTCCACGAGAGCTCGTGCGCCTTAATGCATCTTTGGTAGGTGGGCTTTAACAACTGGACCTGTCTCTGGAGCGATTACCTCAGTAACTAAATCAGCAATCCCTTTCCTATCAAAATAGGTAACCAAGGGCCAGTAACATCTCTGAGGTCTCCCAAACACCTTCTCATGCACCTCGGCTAAGAAAGACTACGCCCTGGCGGTAGTGACATAGAAGCAGCGCAATTTAATTATGTTTGCTGAAGAGGGAGAGAGTCGCCGCCCTACTTTTAAACCATGCAGTGTGCAGTGGTTGCCATGTCAATACTAGGTCATCATTCCACTGAGCTTAAGGCTGAGCCTTGGTTTAATCCTTTAAAAGTTTGGTTTGTTTTAAGGCCAACTGCAGGTCCAGGAACCAAACAGGAAAAGAGCCCCCGTTCTCAGCTGCGAGTGTGTCCGCCCCAAACAGCACGGGTGCGCTGGCAGCTCTGCTCCGGTGCCGAGCGCGAGTCCGCCTGCCGCCTCAGTGTCTGAGCGACGGGCTTCCTTTCTCCATCTCCCGGCTGTCCCTCTGCAATGCCGTCAGCACCTGGAATCACAGGGCACACACTGACCACAGGTCCCAGGGGCTACCTCCCCTCTGCTGCTCCACACCGGCACCCGCGCACCTCTCTGACGTGGAGACCATCAGGCCATCTCTGCACCAATGCCCTCCCACCCGTCCCACCAGCCACAGACGGGGTGCAGGGCTCTCCCTCACATCGCCCCGTGCTCCCCACTGCGAAGCCAGCTGCTCCCTCCTTCCTGAGCTTCCCAAGGGGCTGGGCTCCCTCCTCTCTGCTCTCAGTGCTTAGTTAACACCTTTGTTTTGTAAATATTACTTCCCGCTGTGATTGCTTAATGACAGCAATGACAACAGCTATAGTTCTTGAATCCCTCACTCCACAGGCGCCCCTCACAGCTGTTTACTCCGCACCAGCAGCACAGGAAGGTACCCCCATCAAGGTAACCCCTATCATAAGGCACCTGAGCAACAGCGCCCACAGATGTGACTTGCTCCCAAACAGCTCACCGGCTCAAATCCACATCTGTCTGACTTCCACACCCAGGGACCCAGGGAGCACCGGTGCTGACCCACCAGCAGCCAGGCACCCGCCACTGTCCGTACAAGCCACAGGGAAGGCAGGAATGTTTAGGTCTCAAAAGGGGGCACCAAGGACTGATGACAGATAAAAGCTGCCCCACCTCTGCACAAACAGCACTGCCACCCAAACAAATACCCACCTGTTTGTAAAGCTCACCAGGTCTTCCCTCGGGTACAGCCTGTAGGACTGTGCCCAGACCACAATGCCCCCTGTCGGAGCTGTGTGGAACTCCATGGTGCTCACCCCTCCCCCCACCCTCTACCCCCAGCAAGCTAACTCCTATCACTAGCCCACTATGGTGTCCAATAAACTCTGACCTCATTTTAACCAGTAATTTTTACTTAGTTCCTAAAGTATATGAAGCAAAATATCAGATCTGGGTTTGATCCTTTCCTCTTTGTGTGTGTGTGTGTGTGGGGGGGGGGTGTATGTATGTATGTGGCGGGGGTGGGAGTGTGTGTGGCTGTGTGTGTAGGGTATGTGTGGCTGTGGGTAGGTGTGTGGGGGTTGTCTGTGTGTATGATGTTGTGTGTGTGTATCAGGTGTGTGTATGGGTGTATGGGGATTGTGTGTGTGTGTGTGTTTATGGGCTCTGTGTATGGGTGGGTGTGGGGGGTGGCCACAGGGAAGCACCTGGGACTTGGAAGGAAGAGCAGCAGCCGTGACTGCACGTGTGGGAAGGTGAAGGAGTAACGCAGCCCAGGGAAGCGGGGGCAGGACCTCGTCTGGGAGCACCTCTCCGGGAGGAGCGGCTGGGCGAGTGCCAGTCCCCGTGGCTTCCGTCTCAGGCATTTTAAGGGGGTTACACATGCTGTCTGCCACGCAGGGGCACCGTGAGGACAAACCAGCTGGCCTCCCAGGGCCGCAGAAAGGGTGGAGGCTGAGGTGCCTCGGCCCCTGCATCTGACAGGCCCCTTGGCAGAGCCGGCCTCAGAGCCAGGTCTCCAGCGCAGGAACCACCGAGAGGGCTGCCTCCTCAGAGGACTCTGCACAAGGGCTCCAAGGAAGGAAGGACCAAAAGGCCCGCTTACCTGAGCCCACTTCTTGTTGCGACTCTGCATCTGAACTGCAGCGATGGAGGCAAAAACCTCGTCTGCAGGCAGGTCCTCGGGCAGCCTGGTGAGGAACTGGGCGACGTGGATGAAGTCCATCCTGGTCAGGATGTCCTCGAACAGCCTCAGGATGCCCAGGGCCGTGCGGAACAGGAACTCCTCCCCATCTCGGCAGAACACGTCCCAGATGCGGCAGGCCAGGTCGAGGGGCAGAGACTTACTGTACAAGGTAAAGATCCTGCAGAGAGTGGAGCGCTTCAGGGGGGCTGGCAGACAAGGAGCCCTGAATCGGCTGTGCTCCACTCCATGCTCCCCAGTCTGACTATCATCTTAGATACAAACATGGGGCCGGGTGCGGGGCACGAGGCCTGCGCTCATTCCGAAGGCCAACGTGAAAAGGCTTTCACACGGAATCTAGAACAAGCACAATTCCTCATCACTGCTACTGTTACTTCTACATGCAGCAAATATTTACCCAGGACTATGAGCTACGCTGCTGGCAGGCGCTGGACATGAGGTTACTAAGGCAGAGAGAGCACAGAGTCTGGTGAGGGGCTGAGAACAGCAAACAGAAATGCACCACTCCGCGTCCACGTGCACGTGAATAGGACTATATGCTTTCCTCCCAGTAGGGGTCAGTAAAGGAACAAAGGAAATTTTTCCAAATAAATTTGACTGCAGATTACAAATTCTGATCTTAACAATGCAAACCATCAGATGAAGAAATGAAATACGAGTATGTCTTCCCTTAAAGAACTGTGATCGCCACGCCCTGGCCAGTGTGGCTGGTGGCCGGGCGGCAGCCTGTGCACCAAAGGCCGCTGAGAGGTCCCGGTGCCCTGTCTCCAGTCTCTAGCTGGAGAGCATTCTCAATTCCACCTGGAGGACGTGATAGTTTTTCAGAAAATGAAACAGAATGGACCCAATCCACAGTCCTACCTCTTCCTGCCATTCGCTCACAGAGATCAAGCCCTCACATCTTAAAAGCAGAGTCTCGAGTGAAAAGTGATCAGAAAATAGAGTAGCGATAAGGGGGAGAGTGACAACAGATATTTCTTGAACAGAACATTCTGGAGTTCAGATGAGTGTGGCCTCCATTAACGACTTAGATATTCTGAACTTTACAGAATGAAGCCAACATGCGAACAATCAAGAAAGCTGTGGTCAGAGCCCGCGCCTGTGCTCAGGCCTCACCCAGGCGGTACGGTTCTCCGTGCACTAGCGCCTGAGCTCTGAGCCCTCCTGTGGAGGCAGCCAGCCTGTCGCCAGGCTGGCTGAAGACTGCTTCTGCTAGTCACTGTCCTTTGGTGATGAGGATGCACTGTAGCATCGAACAAACACCATTCCCTGTCCCCAGGGGGGAGGATGTGTGGATTTAACGGCGAGCAGGGGGAGGCAGGGACGGCTTGTCTGATGTGTATGTGTGTGAGAGCGTGCATATACACACACCTGTTAACAGGATGGTCAGGGAAGAACGCATCACTGACAAGTGACATTTGCATAAAGCCCTGAAGAGGAAGCCAGGAGCCAAGAGAAGGGTTGGAAAGCACCCAGGTTCCCAAGCTCTGAGGCAGAAGCAGGCCTGGCAAATCCCAGGAAGAGCCAGGAAGCCCCAGGCAGAAGCCGAAAGCAGCGAAGGGGAGAACACGCGGAGAAGCCGAGGCTGGGCTGGGGCAGGGGGCGGCCAGGCTTTACTCTACAGGACGGGGAACCGGTGGAGGTCTGTCCAGAGGAGGGCCATCCCCTGTGCGGGGAGGTGCGTGTCGGGGACGCAGGTCCCGGCGGCCACTGAAACCAGGCCTGGTCAGAGCAGCTGGCAGCAGCGAGGTGGCCCGAAGTCAAGAGACTCTGGACAGACCCTGCAGTGAATTTTCCTCACAGAAAATGCAGCAGGACCCAGGGGCGCTGAGCCTCCAATTTCTCATCTGTGAAGCAAACCTGGCTCTCGGTGCTTCTGATCTCAGCTGGGGGCACTGCGAGCCCTCACCCGCTGGGCCGGGAGAGCAGGCGACCGCGCCTGGCCATCTCTTGCATTCCCACAAATCTCTCGGGCACCACCGCTTGCCCCGCTCCACTCCCTTCTCCACCCACTTTGCAGCCTCGGCTCAAACCCTGGTCTTTCTCCCTTAACCTGCCTCTGCCTACAGGCTTCCCTGTCTCCCACGTAACCTAACACTCACTTCTGGGGATACCCCTCCTTCATCTTCGCCCAATCAAAAGCCTTGCCCCTGCAATGCCGCCCAAGCGCCTCAGCGTGGCATCCAGCACACACTGGACCTGACCTCTCACCTGCCACCCTCCAGCCTTCCCTCCGGCCCAGCGTCGCCAGGCCACCTGCTGGAGGCCTGCTAGTTCTGCACCACCACGTGCCCCTATCAGGCTGGGGCTGGGGCTCATGTTCGCTGCCCCTGTGCACTCTGACCCTTAAGCTGGGTCCAGGGTCGCTGTCCTCCGCCTGCTTCAGAGACACACTTCATGTGCAGCACAGCACCCACGGGCATGTCTTCCTCTAGGAAAGGCTCTGCAGGCAAGCTCCGTGCTCTGCGCACCACCGCCGTCCAGGTCCCAGCAGAGCCCGGCACAGCCAGACCTGGTGCTCAGTGGCACTGTTTTGTCTTCCGGACGGAAAGTATGTCAGTCACCGGTGACTGACAGGTCGCTTAACGTGTTAATAATGGGTAAATGGCGCTTTGAAAGCAAACAGGTCCAAGACACCACTTCTCCCCTGAAGGAGTTCAGAGGGACCAGGTAGGGTCACAGAAAATAAGAGTAACAAGGAAGAGTGAATGGTGCCAGCAGAGGACTGGGGCTGGAGCTGGGAAAACAGAGGCAGCGGCGTGGGCAGCTGAGTCCTGAAAGGAGCTGGCCGTGAGGACAGTGGAACATGGGGCAGGAGGTGTGAAAACAAAAATGCGGACTTACCAATCGATTAGGTAGATGTCTGGAGTTAAGCTGTTTTTCTTGAAATGAGTAAATAATTTCGGCAAATTTTCTTCAAAGAATACCTCAAATGCGGCAAAATAAGTCAACATCTGGGGAGATAATGTGAAATACACCAGTAAACTAATTATCAGCACACGTGCCCTGCGGCGTCCCGTGCCCAGCGAGCCTACCCCACGGGCTCCGATGCTGGTGAGACCTTTCCGCAGTCACGTGCCCTTTAACGGCGCGCCCACTGCCTCAGACTCAGTCTCCGCACCCGGAACCGGCCGCAGCGCAGTGTGAACTCCGTGTGCACCGGGAGAGCAGAAACCCAGGGCCGCTCGCTGAGATGCCGCTTCCCGTGGTGTCGGGGACGGGACCGAGATATCCCGAGTTTGCCGGTGTGCACTGGCGCATCCTCACAGTAACACCACGAGCTACACCTTGTTATTCCTCCAGGTGCAGAGAGGAAGCTGACAGCCGGAGAAGGTGCACAGCCTGCCAGGAAGGTCACGTGAGCGTGTGGCCGGGACCTGACCCGTGTCTGTTCCTCTGCCAAGGGAGCCTTTAGGGTCACTCCTCTAGGACCGGGAAGGAACTCGTGGCTGAATAATCTGACACATGCACACCGCGCTCCCAGCCCCCAGCCTTGCCAGGCCCAGGCAGCACCGCTCCGGCTCCGGCTCCGGCTCCGGCTCCGGCTCCGGCAAGCAGCGAGGGAGGAAACACGCGGGGAGGAGCGGCGGGCACAGCCGGCACTTCACCAGCACAGGCTTTCGACCGCCTGCAGGGCCTGTGGGATGCAGTGCGCAGGGAGCCGTGTGGAACTGCGCTGCTGCTGGACGGGGAGGGCGCCAGCGGAGAGGCGGGCGGGCTGCTCCGTGTACTGCGGGGAGGCATGTGGGCAGGGTGCTCTCGGGCGCTGCCTGCTCCCCTTAATGAATGGTTGTTCTGTAAACCAGAGTTCCCAATGGGGCACTCTCCTCCCAGGGGACATCTGGCTAGGTCTGAGGACGTTTTTGGTTGTTACAGCGAGGGGAGGTGCTGCTGGCACTCAGCGGGTAGAGGCCAGAGAAGCCATTCAATGCCAGGACAGCCCCACCACAGCGTCCAGCCCCAAGGTCAACAGCGCTGCTACTGAGAGGCCCTGCTGTAAATGAAGGTCCAGTCAGCATTATGATTCTCTGGTTCTTCCTTAGTAATTAGGCTAAAATTCTTCAGTACATTTGTATCATATGTTGCCAAAGAGAAAACTGGGGTCTTCAAAATTAGGAACTATTTAGATGTAAATCATTTTATTCTATGGGAAAAGTTCTTGCTGGCAGGACCGTAAGTGCCGCTGGAGGAAACCTAAGAGCAGAAACAATAAGGATCCTCCATCATCCCTATGAACTGTGGTCCTTTAACAGTTACATATGGGAGCCATTAAGGCAGATGTTCCACTCCATATACTTTTAAAAAAAGTGTCACTTCATCTTAAATACTTCTTTAGAGCACGATTCTGTGCAAACACTGCTACTGCACTGGATCTAGCACCAGACTGCAACGAACCCTTCTGTATTCCCCTAAACCCCATTTTTAAAGTTCTTCAACTTTCACACCGAAATGTAATTTTAAATTATTGTTAAATAATTATAAATACTTGTGTGACAACCATCTCTGTTATTATAAATAATTATAAATACTTGTGTGACACCATCTTTGTTATTATAAATAATTATAAATACTTGTGTGACAACCATCTTTGTTAATGCTTGGTCCCGGGTTGGACTTCCTTAGATTCCTACAAGCAGAATTACATACCAACACCATTTACCGCTATTGATACTTAATACCAAGTTTCTTCCAGAAGAATTCTGCCAATTATACTTCCCCTAACAGCCACCCACTTAGCAACAGTTTTAAAATACTTTTTGTTTAATATATGTACTGCCTGAACAGGAAATGAAATACTCAGGAGGCTTTAAGATATTAAAGAGGGAACATCCCTGGCTGACCTAAACGCTCAGATCAGCTGGTCTAGCAGTACTGGTGAGAACTCTGAGCCAGCTCTCAGCAAGTCAATGCAATACTAACGCAAAAGCTGATGGGTCTGTCAGGGGGCGCCATCCTCTGGCCTCAGAAAGAACAGGGCTGAGGAGGCAGGACGGGGGCCTGGGCTCCTCCCTCACCAGCTGTGTGCCCTGAACGGGAGCCTCCCCGCCCCATCGGGCCATGCAGCCATCTGTGTGCATAATGCGTGGCACGGATTCAGCTCAGTAAATGAAACCTGGACTGCCCAGTGCCCAGCCACGCACTGAACGCACTGCTGCCTCCGTCCACACAGGAGCTGCCCTTACAGGCTCTCCTGTCTGTGTGTGAGCGCACCGCACGGAGCGTGCCCCGACGTCACGGAGCAGCACGATGGCTCAGCTCCGCCACATCCATGCGCAGACCACACAAGGAGACTGCGCCACACAAAGCAGGCATGTTTGTGCACGAGCTGCCCTCCCTGGTGTGGAGAATGTATTTTCAGAAACGCTTTCTGAAAAGCTGTCTTCAGAAAGTCATACATATGGCTATTAGCTACGTGTTTTTAAAATCCAACACAATGCCCCAAATACCTCCCACTTCTACAGTGCTTTCTCTAACTCCCTCTTTGGGGGGGGGGGGGTGTTCTTTTCCACTGAAAAGACGGCTGACTGGGCGGTTCTTGCTGGGTGAAGACACCGCGCCAGGCACACAGGGATACTCACAAGGCCATGGTCCACTCGGAAAAACGCCATTTGACAGGGTTTATTCAAAAGATTAGAAAACGCAATGAAGGCATCTGCAGTGTCTAAGTTCAGGATCAGCACTGCGGCGATGAAGGACATGCCCTGCACCTGTGGGAAGGAGGGGGTTAAATGTGCCTCGGCCTGCACGGCCAGACAGTGCTCTCATTTCATGACGAGGAGTCCAGATGCCCTTGTGCTGGAAGCCACCCACCCACGACCTCCCCCAAAGCTGAGCGACAGCCTGGATTGGACCTGCTCTTGCCAGGAAGCCCTGCGCGGCCACATCAGCGGCCTGCCTGCTCTCTCACCCCACCCCACGTCCCCTGAAACACCACACCTGCCCCTCCCTCCGCATCCGCCACCTGGGACACTGCCCCTGACTCGGCTGCCTCGTGATAGAGATGTGTGTCTATCGCAGTGATGGCGAACCTTTTGAGCTAGGCGTGTCAGCATTTGGAAAAACCCTAACTTAACTCTGGTGCCGTGTCACATATAGACATTTTTTGATATTTGCAGCCATAGTAAAACAAAGACTTATATTTTTTATATTTATGTTATATATTTAAATGCCATTTAACAAAGAAAAATCAACCAAAAAAAATGAGTTCGCGTGTCAGAGGTGTCATAGGTTCGCCATCACTGGTCTATCGTAACGCGCTACACCTGGCACCATGCACAGGCATCGGCTTAGCGCATACACAGCAGCACAGTTTTAAAATGGTTACTGCTAAAGGCTTTTCTTCATTTAATGCTGAGAAAATCACATGCGAAAAGCGAAAATCAAATCGAATGACAATGTGAGGAAGCCACAGGCAGCTGTGTCTGCCGGGTCCCTTACAGCGGTTCTCAACCTGTGGGTCACGACCATTGGAAAACACATATAGCATATCAGATATTTACATTACGATTCATAACAGTAGCAAAATTACAGTTATGAAGTAGCAACGAAAATAATTTTATGGTTGGGGGTCACCACAACATGAGGAACTGTGTTAAAGGTCGTGGCATTAGGAAGGTTGAGACCCACTTCCGGGAGAAGCAGGCAGCTCGCTGCTGGGAGACTTCTCCTGCCCCACAGAAAAAAGGGCATTCGCCTTGCCCTCCGCAGCAAAGATGTCCTGGCAATATCCCGACTTTCTTTTGAAAATGTAAGACACGATAAAATACTGAAAAGTTCACTTACATAGCCCACATCCGGTCGGTAACAAGTATAAGCGCCCAACACACTGTGCAACATGTCATGATACGGGCCGCCCTGAAAGGATCAACACACCAAAGGACACATGCAGTCTGGTTAGCGCCCGGACGGCCTCGGGCGCCGCCCCCGCCCGCCCCCGCCCCCGCCCCCGGAGTGCAGGGAGTCGCGGCCAAGCAGAGGCCGGCAGCTCTGCGTGTATTACGTAACTTCACAAATGAGCTACCAACCCAGTTAGAAGCGAGTCTGCAGCCAATCCATCTACCAAGCTGCTCTGAGAAAGCTGGTGGGTCAGGCCTGAGCCAGAAAAATACCCCTCACTTAGCTCCTGCTGCATAATCACATCCCCTTCCGAGCTCGAGGGCAACCAGGTGCCAGGGTTCGGCAGGCAGGGCAGTGGCCGTTGTCCCGACCGCCCCCAGCCGCGCCGCGCACCCTGACCCTCCCCGCCCATCACGCCTTAGTATCTTCTCCGCTTTCCGATCTGGCGGGTTTAGAGAATACACCTCCATCTTCAGCCCTGACAGCCTCCATTTTAACCCAAACACCCTCCCAGCTCCCCATGTGCTCCTGTAACGCCTTCTCAACATTTAGGTGTGGCAGTTTATCTTCTGTTGAGCACAGAAGAAAGCAGGGGCCTTACACTGCTGTCCCGTGTCTGAGCTGTGAAGGGGCTGGCTCAGTCTACATCACACACTTACTGTCCCCACCTTCCATGTGCCTAGTTAACATAAGGAATGGAAAGTGGACATGGATCCTGGCCAGTGTGGCTCAGAGGTTAGAGCATCGGGCTATGCACCAAAGGGTCCCAGATTAGCTCCCAGCCCTGGTCAAGGTGCGCGCAGGAGGCAACCAATCCATGTGTCTCTCTCACATTGATGTTTCTGTCTCTCTCCCCCTCCCTTCTACTCTCTTTCAATGGAAAAAATATATATACTCAGATGAAGATTTTAAAAAAAGCATACATGGTGCATGACTAGGAAGTCATGCACAGGTGACTACCATAGCTTACAAATGAACGCCACGGCTCAAACCATCACATTCTGGCATAAAAAGAAGAGACACTTCCAGAACACAAAGGGGCAAAGAGGAGAACACAGCAATGGGAGGAAAAAAGACGCCATCCAGGATGAGAGGGCGGAAGAAGGGGACAGGGAGGGGCCCACCTGAGGCGACATCATCGGCAGCAGGTCCCATCTGGTCCAAGGCCAGAGGAGCACAAGAGCGCTGCACTGAACTCTTCTTAAAGCTGAGTGTTTTCAACTCAGCAGATTCCCACCAGGGTGATTATGTCCTTTCCAAGGGCACTAATGTCCCCTCCTTGGTGACAAGGTGGTGCAGTCGCTGACAGGTCCCTATTTTAAACGCCCTAACTAGTTCTGGACGCCTCGCTGTGGCCCTGCTCTCCACCCACCCTTTGTTGCTTTCAGATTGCCCGTGTATGAAACCTAGAACTTTGGGAACCACAGGCAGAGAAAGACACACTCACTGGAACCCGGAGGGAAGGAGAAAAGCCATCTGGCCCCAATCCCACCCAAAAGAGACTCCTAAGCTGCTCCTCCTCCTCTTTCTGCACCAAGATAATCCCCTGTGACCCCCAAAGTCCATGAAGCTTGATGCTCCACGGAGCACATCTGGGCCCGGGCGTGGGAAAGACGGACCTCAGCCGCCCAGGCGTCAGCCCCTCAGGACCGGGTCCAGGTGCCTGCTCGCCCTTCAGCCGCAGCGCTGCCCTCCCACTCTCCTCCAGAGCAGGGACAGTCAGAGCAGTCAGAGCAGCCAGGCAGTAAGAAGGGCCCACAGCACTGAACTGCACGCCTCTGGCTGTCCCTCTAGTGAGGTTCTCTCTCCCGAAGGAGCCCCTGGCCCGTCAGTGTCCGATGTTTCCATTCCAGACCTTCTGCCAAGTGTCCCTCCACTCTCTGGCGGGCTGTCATTCACACCTAGTCCAGCACAGCCCTAGAGCCGCTCCCAGGGACACCGATCTGACCCTCATCCCTGACCCTCCCCACGCCGCACTGCCAGGGAAGTGACCTTCACTCCTCTGCACTGTCACAGTGCCTGGGACACCCACATTTTTGCAGAGCCCAAGTGTCAAATGTCCACACCTCCTGCCGCATTCTAGGGGGCTGGTCCCTTAACTGACTTGTTCTAATTGAAGCGCTTCACTCTCCTGGTGCCCTGGTGCTGTGAGGTCTGGTGCTAGAGGCATGGGCGTACAGTCAGACTGGGCACAGCAGGGTTAGTCTGGAGGCTGTGAGGTGACTGGGCAGAGGCGGACGGGTCGGGAGAGACGCCTGTATTAACATGAGACCCACCCTCCCCCTGCTGGCCCTCTCTGGCCGCCCCTCCACCCAAAAACCCAAGTACTTTTCAACCTGATTACAATGAATGCAGATCAGCATCTGTGAATTTCAGACAAACATGCTTGAAAGCAACCAATCACCACCACCTACCTGCTGGAAAATGCAGAGGTTAGGGAATGTTCTAGAAATGTCCAGTTTAATCAGCTCCAGACTGGCTTCTCTGTCGGCTGCTGAGAACCCGGCATCTACCGAAAGACCAAGAGTCATGACCCCTCTCAGGGGCAGCGTGCGGGACCTCAGAGGCTCTGAGTCTTACAGGAGTGATCAGGGAACATGCTGCAGATGTCCCGGGACCTGGTGACAGCTCGGCCACCAGGGCGTAGAGCAAATATCAACAGCACTGGCTAACGCGAGACCGTCATGGGTATCTTCCGGAGTCTGAGGGAAGCCTCATGTGACACCACCTTCCAGGAGCAATCGGGGGAAGCGCTGAGAACCAACGCGTCCCAGGCACGGAAAGCACTGGGAATCGCGGTCTGACCCAGCACGGCCCTGGTGTACCGCAGAATACACGGGGGTGTGGCAGCGCGACGCTCGTGCGCCGTTTCTAACAGACGCTCAGGAATAGCCTGGCTTCTGTTTCTTTTACTTTAGTGTCACCCAGATGGCGTCAAAGGTCAGGAAAGAAGATACCACTGAACCGACAGCAGTGTCATTCTGTGTGGGGGAGATTCTAAGTGTGACCCAGCAAACACGCAGTGCTCCGTCTTCAAGCAGCTCAGATGCTGCCCTGGACGCCGACGCTCAAGTGACCCGGGTTCCAGGCTGCTGCCGCCTCGTGAATGGGAACGAGGGAGCACAGTGGTTACCACCGGCCCTCCAGCGTGTCCAGACACAAACACTTCTCCAGACCTGGAGTGTTTTCTTTCTTATGAAAATTTCTTCTTTAAGTTGTTTGCCCTGAAAAATCCCTTTTCCAGCCCTTGGCCCTGTGGCTCGGTTGGTTGGAGCATTATCCATACACCAAAAAGTTTCGGGTTCAATCCCCCGTCAGGGCGCCTATGGGAAGCAAGCAATCAATGTATCTCTCTCTCTCTCTCTCTCTCTAAAAATCAAGGAAAACGTATCCTTGGGTGAGGATTTAAAAACAAACCACCCTTTTCCAGGCAGCTGCTTGTAAGCTCGCACCACGCACCGCCTCAGAGAAGCGACCTGTGTTGGGTGGAGCGGTGCCCTGCTGACCGAGCCGCCGCCAGCCCGCGCCCCACGTACCTTCACTGTCCACGTCGGGGCCGCCCGCGCTGAAGCACCGCCACCTCTCCTTGGCTCGGGCGAGGCAGATGTGGAAGAGCTCTGGAAGAGAGGCCTCGGCTGAGCATGGGCACACACACACGCTCCTCAGAATGCCAGGGGCACACCACTGCCTCAAGTTCAACTACATACGGAAGGTCCTTCTGTTGTCTAAGGACACCAGCCACCATTCACAGAGACAGACCCACACACACCACAGTGCGGGTGTTTACTTCTATGTACGGCCGCCAGGCACGGCTGTCTGGTTTGTGAGTCCATCACTTGTACCATCTGTGAGCTCTTTGGGGTAAGATGGTCAACTTGTGGCAGGTATGGATTAGCCAAAAATGGAGCTTGAGGAGGTCACCTCCAACAAACGCCAGTGACACGCCCTCCAGCTGGCATTACTCAGGCTGCAATCGTGGGCGGATGATGTCTCCCAAGGTAAGAACAATAGTTACAGGAACCCCAGGTGCACAGAGCAGACACAAATCAATCTGCCCTAAACGCAAAGGCCTTCCATCGCTACCAGCAACTCCGGGCATTTACTGGGTACATATAACATAAAGGAGATGAGGAGACAGGGAGGAAAAAGGAACAACTCCCAGTTATAAGGCGCTTAACTGCGAGTCTGCGAGCCCCTGGCCTACCTCACCTGTGCTGGGCACAAAGTCAGGGGAGCGCAGGTGGAGGAGAGGTACACGCACACTGAATGAACGCACACGGCAAGACACAGACAGCCCTAGGAAAGGCGAGTCCAGATCTCACCTCCCCTCTACTCTGAAGCTACTAGAACCTCAAGCACCCAGTTGGGCACAGTGTATTGTCCCTCTAGAGGTGCTTCCATATCAGCTGCCTGTGGAACAATGCCACAGAAAACAGCAGCGCCCAAAGACAACCGGCACCCCAGAGTGCAACCTGCACCCCAGAGCACAACCACGTGCCCCCACCGCACACCGAGACCAGGCTGGCTCCCTACAGGTGGCTGAAGCTCCTGGAGGACAGGCACCTGGCCTCTCACAGCTTCTGCAATGGTGTCCTTTCTGCTGAGAGCAGGGCAGAGGGACAGGAGAAGCCATAGGACCTGGCCGGAGGGGACGGCGGGGGGGGAGGGAGGGGGAAATTCCTCGAGCCTTCAAGCGCAAGCACTCACCATGGGTGATGTTTAACTCGTTGCCAATGGCTAAGCTCCAGACTTTGCCTCTCACACTGGGAGGGATCCCCTGCCACCACAGGTCCCGGACTTTTCTAGAGCACCACCTGGACAGAGAGGAAAACCAGTTTATGCAGCTGTTCTCCGTGAAGAAACATCTGCCACCTGGGTGCCTCCCCCAACCACAGGACAGGGGATATACAGGGATGTCGCAGCTCTGCCCTCAGGGGACTTAGGTCCAGTGTCCACAGAGACAAGATCAGTGCGCTCTCCACGGGGCACTACTGTGGCAGGTACGCCCAGGGCACTGCACGGGAGGGAGCAGCAGCACAAACCAGAGGGCCGGCACTATCCTGAGCTGAACCCTCAGTAACCCGTAGCAGTTTAAGCAGACGAAGGGTGGGAAGGGCTTTCTGAGCAGAAGGCACAGGATCCAGAACGGACCTCGCAGTGCAGGAACGGCTGCTAGCTGAGCGGGGGGGAGGGAGGGGGACAGGACTGCTGCGGAGCTGCAAGTGCAGGGCAGGTGGCACGCAGGGCACAGCTGCCAAGCTCTAATGGCAGAGCACTCTGCTACCTCAGCACGCTCTCCACTGCTCAGGCACTGAGGCCCTCTGCTCACAGTGGCTCACCGCCCGCATACTGGGACAAAGTCCAAAGACTCCCCTGTGCTCAACACAGCCCAGTGAGAGAGCACAGGCCGAGGCTGCAGAACAGGTCTGCACCCCAACTCCATGCTTCCCTGTGCAACCCCGAGCAAATGACTCCTCTCCAGCACCGACTGCAGAAAGCCTCCGTGAAGGGCGGCCGTGGAGCAGGACGATGCAGTGACACCCGGCCCCATGCCTGGCTCCTAGCTGGTGCGTCTCAGGCAGTGCCAAGCGCGGGCCTCTGGACCTCATCACACCCCGTCAGTGCGGATGGACCAGGGTGGGTCCTGCAGCCACAGAGGGGGACAGCCCCAGGTCCTGAGGACCTCACTCTTGTCGCTGAGTCCATTTGAGAAAAAAGTTTCCTGACTGTGTCCAGTCTCATAAAGGCACAGCCTAGAAATGCTTGGGAAATGCTTGTTTTCCTAGGGGACACCCGCAACGGGGCTGTCTGACCCCCTAATGAGATGGAGTGACACTCGGGGAAGTGCCAGGACTGAGTCCCCCACATCCCGACATCGGGTGCAGGCTGAAAGCGATGAGACGAGAAACTGGCACCCAAGCTTCCTGGCAACTCCTAGTGATGAGGGGAGGCCCACAAAGGGCCGCACACGGCCCTCCCCGCCTTGAACCCACAGGAAGAACTGTCCCCAGCTGTCCCACGGACGGAGAGATAACAGCAGCTGCCAGACTGCCCTGGGGGCTGTCATCAGAGAAGAGTCAGTCCCTACCCTCAGACAGAGGATGACAGCAATGCACCCAAGGGCATCTCCTCCAGCCCCTGGCCAGGAAGGGCTTCCCCACAGAAGACTGAGCTTCATACAACAGGGAGTGGGAGGGATCACAGGGCAAGAGCACTCCAGGCAGAGGGAACAGAGCAGGCAAAGGCCCTGAGGCTCCCTGATGAGAGCGCTCCATCCACTGCAGGAGAGATCGAAGGTGCGGCTCCCAGCCCGAGTCACTGAGATCTGAAGTGGGGGAGTGACACAGCCATGGGCTGCTGATCCCTCTGGAGGAGGACGGGGAACTGTCACAGGATCCAGATGAGGGACAACAGGCCTGAGCCTCAGCAGGGAAGGGAGAAGCTGCACACCTGACCCTACGTCCTTCCACCACAGGCAGGACGCTGACCGACATCGGTGCGGCCGCTCCTGGATCCCAGACGGACATGACAAAGCGCACCGCGCCCGTCCCAGCTTACATGGTTTCCCAGTTCGGCAAAATCTCATTATTCCACGTCAGGACAGCATTCCCGATGCTTTCTTCCTGCCGGCATCTTTCTTCCAGCTGCTTCTTCCTCCGCTGGGCTTCCTTCAGCTCTGGGAATCGCAACGGAGAAGAGGAAAGGCTCCGTTAACTGGCAGCCACCACTTCAAGTGGATGATTTTTCTCAGTCACGCAGCAAAGACCCCAGAGTGGCACTGACAGGGCCATGAGACCCACCCCTTCCCACCGTGGGCAGCTCAGAGGCGCGGTGTTACCATCTTTTAGTAAGCTTTTCAGGTGTAACATACAAACAGGAAAGCATACCAATAAAGCAGATCAATTATCACAAATAGGCCACCTCATGAAACTTCCACCGCAATCAAAGGACAGAGCACTGCAGACCCCAGAGGCGCCTCGTGAGCTCCCCGCCAGGCCCCTCCCAGCACAACTTGGAGCCTCCTGTCTCACAGCCCGAGCAGAACCCTTAATGTGCAATAGCAGCTATGGGAAATACCGTGCGTTAATTTACATATACTTTTGTGTGTTTTTATTGTGGTAAAATACACAAAACATAAAATTTACTGTTAACGATTTTAAGTATACAATTAGTGGCATTAAGCACATTCACATCATTACCCAACCATCACCAACATCGTCTCCAGAATTTTCTCAGCTTCCCAAACTGAAACTCAGCACCAATTAAACTCTAACTCCGCCGCATTCCCCCACACCCACCCAGCCCCTGGCAATCACCATACTTCCGTCTCTATGATTCTGCCTACCCTAAGGGCCCCATAGAAGTGGGATCACAGTGTTTATCTTCTTGACTAAGCATAAATCCTCAAGGTCCACCCGTACTGAGGCACATTCCAGAACTTCCTTACTTTTTAAGGCTGAATAATGTATAGACCACATTATGTTAATCACATTTTTTTTTAAATCCTTGTCATAGGATGTTGCAAGGCATTTTACCAAATCCTATCCCATCTTGTAAAAAAAGGAAACTCGCCCGGCCAGCATGGCTCCGTGGTTGAGCGTCAACCTATGAACCAGGAGGTCATGGTTCAATTCCCGGTCAGGGCACATGCCCGGGCTGTGGGCTCAATCCGCATTGGGGGGCATGCAAGAGGCAGCCTATCGATGATTCTCTCTCATCATTGATATCTCTCTCTCTCTCTCTCTCTCTCTCCACCACTTCCATCCTCTCTGAAATAAATAAAAATATATTTAAAATTAAAAAAAAAAAAAGGTCCTTAACCGGTTCGGCTCAGTGGATAGAGCGTCGGCCTGCGGACTGAAAGGTCCCAGGTTCGATTCCGGTCAAGGGCATGTGCCTTGGTGGCGGGCACATCCCTAGTAGGAGGTGTACAGGAGGCAGCTGATCGATGTTTCTCTCTCATCGATGCTTCTAACTCTCTATTCCTCTCCCTTCCTCTCTGTAAAAAATCAATAAAATATATTTTAAAAAAATAAAAATAAAAAAATAAAAAAAAAAAGGGAACTGAGCCCAGAGAGAGAGAGAGCTTTGCCCATCACTGCTGGCCGAGGCTTTCCGCAGTCCATACTCTTACCCTAGACCAGTGATGGCGAACCTTTTGAGCTGGGCGTGTCAGCATTTTGAAAAACCCTAACTTAACTCTGGTGCCATGTCACATATAGAAATTTTTTGATCTTTGCAACCATAGTAAAACAAAGACTTATATTTTTGATATTTATTTTATATATTTAAATGGCATTTAACAAAGAAAAATCAACCAAAAAAATGAGTCCGCGTGTCACTGCCCTCTCTCCTGGTGTCAAAATGCTAAGACCTTGAGTAAAGCTAGCAGGAATGACATGACAGAAGCACACACTTTTGTGGAAAACTATAAATTTCAAAATACGAAAGCCTTCACCACAGTTCAGGTTCAAGGGCCCCAGACAGGAAGAAGGAAATATCCAGACAGACACAGAGTCCTGTGCGGCCTTACGCACCCGCACACGTGGATCCTCACCTCGCTTTTTGGCCTGGACCACCATTTCTTCATACTGCTGCCTGTGCTTCTGAGCTTCTTCAGCTGGCTTCGCCGGGAGATTTCTTGATAGAAAATAAATGATTTTCCACCATTATGAATCCTATATAATAAAGAGCTAATATGCTAATTAGACTGGACGGCAGAACAACCTTCCAGAATGACCTTCTGGAAAAACCAGTGGGTAGGGCTACAGGGCCGCGAGGCAGCCCGAGCCACAAGGGCCGAGCCCCTTGCACGAATTTTGTGCATCGGGCCTCTAGTATCAAATAAAATTCTTTGAGAAACAAAACTTGAAGCATTACTAGTAAAAAGTAAATAAAAAAGCTCAAAAAATAAAACTAAACACATTAAGATGACAAAGACACAGCTCATTTATAAACTAAAAATATTTCTTACAAAAGTAAAATAAGCTCATGGTAAAAAATCTGAAGTATAAAGATCAGTAAAAAGAAGAAGGTACTAGTAACAATTACCCATCATTCCAAGAGATACACACTTAATCTTTTGGTGTTTTTCACCTTAGTTCCAAAGAAACTTTGATCTGACCACAATACACTAATAACTGTCGACACTTGTCCGGGAAGGAGGGACCCTAACAACATATAGGGTGCTAATGTGTGAACACATCTCCTGCCGGTTTGTAAGTGTGCTAGTTTCACACTGGGTATGCGGCTCATCGGTGTGTATACAAATGTATACCACAGCTCTGAGCATCTGAATGTGGTGAGCGGCTACGAATCCTGTTTGAAAAAATAAAATGCACGTTCTCCTTCAGAAATGGACAGTCCTCAAACAGATGGCCACCACCAGAGGAGGGGTGCTGGGCCGGCGGCTCCCGCAGGTCCTGAACAACCCAGCACTGGTCCAGGCAATGCTCCACAGGGCCGGCTGCCTCCAACACCCACCTCCAGGACCCTGCTGGTGTTCTCTTGCGTTACAGCCAGCCTACAGTTTACAATAGCTACTTACGTATTTGTAAAATGCTAAGTTAAATGAAACACCACCTGAATGGAAAATCCTAGGCAACACTTCCATGTTAAAGGACAGCTTTCCAAATCAGTCACTTACTATCCCTAGGACGCACGTTAATTAATATAGGAAATGAAGAGGAACTCGGCATTTTTTCTTGATGTTCATCCTCACCTGAGGATATTTTTTCCATTGCCCTTTTTTTTTTCTTTTAGAAAGAATGGAAGGGAGGGTAAGGAGGGGGGGAGGGAGGAAGACGGGGGAGAGGGAAAGAGAGAGAGAGAGAAACATCAATATGAGAGAGACACATTGATTGGTTGCCTCCCACACATGCTCTACGTGGCCGGGGATGGAACCTGCAACCCTGGTATGTGCCCTTGACCAGGAACTGAACCCATGACACCCTTCAGTGCACAGTCCGACATTCTAACCACTGAGCCACACTGGTCAGGGTGGAACTGGGCATTTTTAACGAGTGCTGTGGCTCACTCTTCTTCTCTCTGTGTCCCCAGTTCCCTTCTGATGAAAAGGTGCCTCATCAGCAAGGTGTTCTTATCCACTAAAGCCAACACCCAAGCTCTTCTTGGGACTCACGCTGGTCTGTCCTCCAGGATGAGTGCGGTGGTGGAAAGCGGCTCGAAGTCCAGATTCTTCCTCACATTCTGCTTTGGGGAGGGTGGCCTGCTAGCTCGTCCAGCCTGGTCTTCATATTCCTGGGACAAAGAAACCAGGGTTACCGCGGGCCTGCCAGCTCTGACATGACGACGCCCTGGGGAAGCAAGAGCGTGTGCCGTCCTTTAGGATGACTCTGAGGGTGACGAGCCTGCCACGGCAAGGGGGCCTGCAGCTCTGCAGCTTCTGTGCTGCTGAGCGACACCAGGACAGTGGATGCCCATGTTGGTGAGAAAGTCACCAGGACCTCCTCACCACGCTGCCCCTTCCCGAGGGCCCCAAGCATCGTCTCGTCTCCTCTGCTTCTCCTGTGAATTTTAACTGGTTATTACAGTGGCCACTGGGAATCTCAGAGCCAGACCAACAGCCAGTTTCAGCACTCACCTGACCTCCGGCCTCCTCTCATACCCTAAATTTCTAAGCCACTTCCTTCTACCCCATGGCATTTGATGCATATTTATTAGCTGTTCAAATATTTCCTGAAATGAGGAACAGGTTAAAATTTTTTGCATAAAGCTCTTTCATTTTCTTAAACCAGAAATATCAAAAAATGAAATCTTTAACATCGTACGAAGCCGTCACTGCGAGCTGCGACATGAGTAACTGTGCCAGGCCCTGGAAATCTGAGAGCGGCCCCCACGCTGCCAGGTCACAAAAGCTCAGTTGCACCTGGTGACCCACATTCCACACACCCAACCAGAAGAGCTCAGGAGAGCCAAGCACGTTGGCGCCAGAGTCCAGTTTCTGAACCTGTGTGCATGTATGTGTGTGTGCGTGCGCGCGTGTGTATACCCTTAGCTCTCTGAAAAAAAAGAAAAAGAGATATACAAAAACCCACACTATTCTCTTGCTGCCTGTTATGGACAAGGCTCTTGGGACCCTCCCATAAGAGAGGACAATCTAGCTGGGAAAACAGGACACCCAAATGTGTACTTAGCCTAAGACTAAAACAACTATTTCAACAACAGAAGCAGTATCATGAGTGCAAAGTGATTAACTGCTAAATGAATTTTATTGACACCAGCTGCCAAGAGGGGTGCTGCTGGCAAAATTATCTGGCAAGCAATTACTCTCAGCCAGAAAAGCCTACAGAGACTTCTAAAAGTGCAAAGGGAAAGTGATCTCCCCCAAATACGCAGGCTCCGCGAGGGTGTGCACCCCGAAGCAGGTGGATGGGAGAGTTTCTGAACATCTGGATGTACAAGTTTGGACGTCTTAACACTTCTTACCCTGACTTCAGTGGTTCCACTAAAATACTGAAATGACCTCCTTACCAAAAACTGAGACAACGGATGCCCTTGGCCATCAAGTCTAACATCCCAGCACCTACGTGTGCCAGGCGCTCTGCTGCAACCTAACAGCACCAGCTTCAGGAAGCTTCCAACCTGACGTCTGGGGGTCAAAACCTGGGATCTTATGGGAAACCCACCCAAAGCTGTGTGTTGAGAATGAGTGGGAGGCATGTCGCCTTTCAACAAGGATTAGTAACGACTGCCCCACAAGGTGCTACTGATGGGCTGACCCTGGTCTAGTGAACTCTAGGCCAGGCCCAAAGGTGTTAGCCCGGAAGAGGGATGTGCCAGAACCTGGACGCCCGTTTCCATTTGCTCTTGTGGGCGTTACTCGTCGTCTCACTTTATGTCCGTAACAAGCTCCATGGCAAGTGTGAGCCCATTTTACAGGTATGGTAGCTGACCTGCCCTCAAGGACAAAGCCAGCGGGGGACGGGGCCTGCAGGACTAAGGACCAGGGGAGGCTCCTGAGGCCGTGAGCACAGACAGCCCCTGGTGCAGAGAAGTGCTGCCCTGGTTGCTGGGTGCCACGACCCTTCTTCCCCTCGGACCTGACAACTGTACGCAGCAGAAAAGATACTCTGGGGCCAGACCCCAAGCAAGGAGCCCTGCGAACAGCACACACGGGAAGAGGAGAAGTAAGTGAATTAAAGGCCTTGCCTCATGCCCAACACAACTAGGTCTCTCAGGTTAGAGCTCTGAGGCTCTATTACTAAGAAGCAGCAATGGCCGCTGAGGTTAAGCAGCTTGTCAAGGGCTTTATGGGCGCTGAGTTGGCTCAACTTCCCTTTCACGCGAGCCCTCTGAGGGAGGAGCTGCCATGGTCCCCAGGTCACACATCGGGAGGTGGAGGCCCGCAGCGGCCATGACTCCTGCTGGGGAGCTGGGATCAGCCGCGGAGCCTTCTGGCTCTGCAGCCACGATTCTCAGCGACGGCCACACTCCAAAACTCCTGCAGCCACTCACAGGCAGGGTCCAGGTGATGTAGTCACTCACGCTCAGTCTGAAAAAGCTTTGCAACGACGATGGACACCTGTGCTACTGAACTCAGCGTACATGCAGGGCAAAGCTCACGTTGTAATCACACAGAGCATTACATGATGAGAAAGCAAACAAAAGCAGAGGAGGCCTGGCCCCTGTCCACATTGGAAATCCCAGGGACAGCCTTTCCAGAACTGGAAGCAGCACTTCACAACAGGAATGGCACCGGAAGTTGCTGCGGGTCCTGCTCCAAACCCAGTTCTCCCACAGCGACCTCGAGGTCAACAGTGAGCTCCAAACCAGACAAGCAGCCTCAGTAACAACAAGGAGGTCCCACAGGTCTTGTGTGTATGGTGGGGGTGGGGGTGGAGGTGGGTGCAGTGGCAAGAAGCTTCTGGAAAATAACTTTCAGTTGTGGGTTATCGATGTTGGGGTCAGCACGGGATGTGGCGAGAACTAGGGCTTTGGAAGCAAAAGGACTTGGCTCTACCAGCGGCTCTCAACCTGTGGGTCGCGAACAATGAAAATACATCCTGCATATCAGATATTTACATTATGATTCATAACAGTAGCAAAATTACAGTTGTGAAGTAGCAACGAAAATAATTTTATGGTTGGGGGTCACCACAACATGAGGAACTGTATTAAAGGGTCGCGGCGTTAGGAAGGTTGAGAACCACTGCCTGAGTAAGCCCGGGCTCTGACCTTAGGCAAATCATCTGGCTTTGCTTCTGTCTCAGCGTCTGTTTCCTCATATAAAACGAGAGCAGCCATGAGCACTCCCGTGACGATGACATGGCATAGGCCACATGCGCCCTTTCTGTGTGCGGGCAAGTGTCAGGGCAGTCCCAGCCTCAGCCCACCTTATCCTTCCAAAGTTTCTTCTCTTCCTGGGACCCTTCTGGGACCATGTTTTGAAGTCTCTTGGTTTAACCCAGTGACAATGCCCTTCATTGTTGTGCTCATCAGCAGCCCTGTGAACTCATCAGTACAAATCGCCCATTCAAGCAACGGCAACGGATTCCAACGCCTGCTCAGAAGGAATTTAGAGCAGGGCTCTTCAGTCTAGCAAATCCGCTGAAGTGGTCACGCCAGCATTTTTTAAAATCTAACAATAAAGAGCATCAGAGTGCACATAGTAAGGCCAGTTTGCTTCCATTCTAAACCCAGTTTTATCTGCGTGCTGAGTTGAATTGTTTAACAGGGTTGGGGGTGGAGGGTGGCACATCAGAAAGGTTTGCAAGCCACTAATTTAGAAGCATAGTAGGCCAAGTCCCTGCTCTGAGTGGTTCATCAAGTACCCTGCTGGGAAGACAAGACCAACACCAACGAGACAACAGCAAATGAAATGTGCTGCATCTCACCAGGGGCCAGGTGGTGGGGGAAGCAGCTGGCAGGGGTAAATGAGCAGGACCTCACTCCACACAGGGCCAGGAGCGGAACAGATTTAGCCGTCAGGGGAAGGCGGAAAGGGCCTCTGTAGTGAGGGGCCACAGGCCCAGCCTGCAATGTTTCACTCTAGTAGGGGCAGGTAAGACGCCAGCAGAGGCTAGGAATCCAGGGCAGACCATGGAAACTGCCGGGAGAGAGTAAGTCTCGTGCCACGGGAGCCCGAGGACAGGGTGCCCATGGATGGGGAACAGAGGAAAGCAGCTCATCTGAGTGGACAAAGGACAGGAGCCCCAACAGCACAAGCAGCAGCCTAGAGTGGGCTTACCCACGGGTAGCGAGCACTGAGACGGAGCACGGTGCTGAGTCAAAGCTGTTTTGCTCTGAATTTTAAGGGCTCAACACAAGCCACCTAGAGCTGGCGAACAAGACGAGTAGGCTGAGAGCTGGGCTGCTACAGCGCCAGAAGCCGACTGTGGGCGTGGTGAGCCTGTCACTGCACCCACGGCGGGGTCTGCAGGGCCGTGTCTACAGCACGCGTGATCCGAGCAGTGCGCAAGGCAGGACAAGGGCACTGGCTCCTGCATGAAGTGTATCCTTTGCCAGTTAAAAAAGACAAAACACAAAGCCTACCTCAGCGAACATTTGTTTTAAGAGAACAAAGGATAAGATTCTCAGACAATGAAGGTAACGTGTTCCTGGCAGGATGACTAGAGGGCCATCAACGCTACTCACTGAGCTGTGGAGTGCTGTAAAGATGGCCGCTTCTGCTACACTCCTGGCCAGTAGCGCTCTGGCTTCTGGGAAAGCTACCTTAGCCAGAGGCAGAAAGGCTCATCAGTCAAAACCTGTGTTTAAGTCTTTGACTCACTGTACCCAGTATCATGATTCACCTTTTAAAATAATGATGAGGGTTCTGGAGGTATGCTGGAATAAAGTATGGCGGGCCGCCCCATGTAGTACCTATTAAAAGACTGGTGTGAACCGACGCCAGGGACAGCACAGCACCACCTCTGCACAGGCCGAGGGCCCAGGCAGCCTGCAGGGGAAGCTTGGGTGGGTGGGTGGGTGGAGGAGCAGCAGGCCTGGGTGGGATCAGTGCCACCAGCAGCCTGACCTTGAGCACATCCCTTCACCCTGTTTCCTCATTTATTAAATGAGAAGATTAAATGAGAATGAGTTACATAGACACATAGCCACAGCAGGTGTACAATGACAGGAGTATTACTGTCACTGCATTACTACAAAATTATATATATATATATAAATTTCAGAGAGGAAAGGAGAGAGAAAGGCAGAAACATCAATGATGAGAGAGAATCATTAATCGGCTGCTTCCTGCATACCCCCTACTGGGGATCGAGCCCGCAACCTGGGCA